TTGGGGTAAAATCAAATATGATTATGACGAGGCAGCCTACGGAATGTCGCTTCCTCCTGTGATAAACTAAGACGTCAAAAGAATCCTTAACTTCAGCACATTCCGCAAAGCCAGGGCATCTAGACTTGGGGCGCCTAGTGGCGGCTCAAAGTTATGGGGTTTACCTAAAAGGTCATACCCTACCCCGTGTCTAGGGTACTCAATTTTCAAACCAAAACAGATCCCAGACATGAAACGAGATACCCTGCAAACGGGTGGGGAATGACCCTCTAGGTAGGGTCTGAATCGGTCTGAATGGCCAAATCCCATCGAAGTACGGATCTGAGCCTTAGATAGCGGCTCCGAAGTAAGTAATATAGGGGCAGTATATAGTAATTAGAACAGGGTTTTGGAGCCCATTATACTATCACCCAAGAAAGTACAGACGCCCCCCCAAAATGACTCAACTGAAGTTAAAAGCCTGCAAAAAAACTCCAGGCTCCGAGCAAACACCCTAAAACCCCTAAAATCCCTAAACACCCTAAAACCCTCAAACCCTACAACCCTAAAACCCTGAAACCCCTAAAACCCTAAACCCTAAACCCCCTAAAACCCCTAAAACCCTAGATCCAACAAATCCACAGCTCCTCAACTCAGCTCCTGAGTTCTGGACTCGGAGTTGGTCGATGCTGGCTTGGCCTTGGGGAGGGCAGTGGCAGTTACTGTTACTATAAGGGCCTTCATAATGAGAATAGAGATTCCTTTTTGAGGGGTCTATAGGGGCTTCTATTGATAGGGGTCTTCAAAGGTAGGGATGAGGAGAGGATCCTACGATTCAGCGGTTCAAGGTTTTGGTCCTACTAGATGGGGCCTTAATAAGTAGAATAGGGTCACACCCAAGCCATGACAAAACCGACGACAACACCGACAACAAAGCCTAGTCATAGTTGCTCATCATTCAATATGCTGGAGACTCTAGCCAATGCTTGTAGTAGTTGCCTTACTCTCTGCAATCCAGAACCGTTCATGTCAAAGCCTCCTATGCCCCAAAGAACCTCCGACACACCCAAACCCACACACAAACTCCAAAGGTTTAGGGTTTAGGTTACCCTAAACCCTAAACCGCAACAGCTCAACTTCTACTGTCCTATGCCCCCGTGCTCCTACGAAAGGGGGAACGGTGCGCCAAGCCCAAAGCCACCCGGGCCGACCGTGATTCCCATGCCTTAGGGTGTGTAAAGCAAAGCAGGGATGTAACAAACCAGACCCGAACGTCCGGAAAACCGTCGTAGAAACACTGATAGAGCCTTTATGGAATCCCTGTACAACCCGGATAGCACCCCCAAAAGAATACCGAAAAGGAAACTCCATATGATCTCTTTTCCACCGTGCAGCTGCTAAGCAGCGGCCCTGCGCAGGTGGCAGGGCTCCCAAAGCACCGCTCGTTTTACCGGGTCTCGGCGGGGAATGTAGGAAGTCACCCTTGATTTACGGCTTAAAGGGTTTAGGATTTAGGGTTTAGGGGCTTGCAGCCGGTTTGTGGCTGTGGCTAAGTGAGCTTCTAGGGAGGACGCTTTTGCTTTGGGTTTCGCAGCTTGTATGCCCTGTGGTCCGGTATGCTTTGGAATCCTGTGTTCCCGACCGCGAACCAGTAAGTCTAATTATATAATGATATATGCTGAACCCTTATGCCATCTGCTACATGCAAAACACCACGCCCGAAATCCTCAGCCCATCCCAATCCCACACTGTAACTACGACATCGTGTTTTAGATTCCCCTCGTTCCCTACGAAGATCCGGCAAGTCTTGCGGATGCAGGGTCGGATTGACGCCTGCCATCCGGAGCGGACGCACGTGATGTGAAGGTTGCTCTGAAACCGTAAACCCAAAACCCTGTGAAGTTCGGGGCTTAGGGTTTAAGGTCCCGTAAGGGATTACGAAGCGCAAGGGCAGAATTTACTTCCTTGCTTGAACCACAAACTACCTCTCCTGCCCTTGAGTCCTGAAGCCCTCTTGGCGGCTGAGTCTAGCGCCGCAAAGGTTAACCTTTTCAACCAATGGTAGTAGATATACCGCACAAGGCGAAAAAGGCTACCTACTCAGCTACTCAGCCCATAAACCCCTCACCCTAACCACACTAGGGTTAAGGGCTTGGCAGGTCTCTGGAATCCTCCCGTCGAGGAGACTAAACGTGATGGGAGATGAGACAGTTTGGGAGAGCGTGAATCAGGGAACCGCAACATGTAGTAGAACAACCTTGTGGGAGCACCAGAGACTGTGACTCCAATTGATACAGAACCCAAACTAATCGAATCCTTGTCATAAAGATCCATACAATAGCTTGCTTGTCTTTGTTCTGAGGCTCCCGTGTCTCTTTCAAAACAATACTCACTGTAACTGATGCAGTTGGGCAGCTCTTCTCGAATCTTCAGTGCCATGTAATTACTGTAATCCTTGAATCCTAAACCCTAGCACCTGCACCCGAAGTCCTGAACTTTAGAATAGACGATCCCTTTTGCTGGGGCGCCCTCCCTATGTAATGCGTGCATTAGGGTCGTATAACGATGTAAGCTTCATGTGAGGCTTCGAGTCTACTGCGGTGCAATGCAATTCATACTGGGGGTCTTATCAGAATCGTATATTCCATGTTTCAAGGATGTGACTTAGTTGCTGAGTTCATAAGCCCCAAAACAGGTGTAAGCTTTCGGTTGGGAAGGGGAACCTATAATGCCGAACAAGTGTAAGATGAACTCATTCAGACCACCAGGGGGAATTTATGCCCTGCCTTGGAGACCAAATAATATCCCTGTATGGTAGGGGTTTAGGTTTTAGTTTGCGTTTTGGATGAGCTCATATTTTGGTACAAGTAGTCGAGCCTTGCTCCCAAATAAGGTACATTTCTTGGGCGTGAAAGAAGATCTGCACTGCGGCATCAGGGACCGGATCTCGGTCAGTGCGGATGTTGAAATTCTCGGAGCGCCGGCTTCAGGTCTTTCCTATTTCTAGAGGAGTTCGAAGAGGTCTAAGGTTTAGAGTTTACGGTTCGAAAGGGTCCAGGGGTTTAGGGTTTAGGGATCGCAAGGGTCTAGGGTTTAGGGTTTGTTAAGGGAGGGTGTCCCGAAAATTATAGGGACGCTGTTATTTGCACGCTGTCGTTGGGGTTCTATGGGGTTTCGGATGAAGGTTCAGCGCTTAGGATTCTGGGTTTTGGGGGGTTCCATGAGGGTGATTATCGACTTGGATACTCGGGTGGGGATTAATGATCAAGTTTTTTATACGGGCCTCTTTGATTGGCTTTGGGGTTTAGGGAGTAGGGGTTGGTTGTCTCACAATAAACAGAACACTATTAAAATTCAATAACTATAATGAATGGCAGCGGCAGTAACAATAATAACACGAACACCAGTTCTGGTAATACTATTACAACCATCTGAAGCCAGCACTTTTCGCAAGAAGCCTCTGGCATCTGTACGGCGCTTGCGCCACTCCGACCCATGGAACTTGGAGGGTCAGGAGACTTGGTAACTAGGGTTGAGGATCTAAATCCTAGGGTTCCTTTAAGGGGATCTATAAGGGTACCTTCAAGGGGTTCCCTTCAGGGATCTACAGGGTTTTAGGGTTTAGGGATATAAATCCTGCATTACCCAGAATAAGGAATATACCATTTTCCCATATATAGTCTAGCATCATTAAGGCAATGCAGGGTCTATATCATCAACCGTGGGAAATACCCGTGGCTCCGAATGCCCGTCAAAAATCGACCCAATCTCGAGTAATCAATGCACCTCCACAAAGGCGGCTGCAACATACTATAGTGGCCTGAATAATTAGAGACTGGATCAAGTTTCGGGCCCATTATATAAAACAATTGTAATGCGGAATCCCCCCCCCGAACAGTATTGGTAATTATTCAGGCCCCGATATTAATTGCTCAGTTTTCTGTTGTTATATCAGGTTTTGTGGTACCTGATACCCTTACATCAGACTTCCTTGCAAAATCGCTGGGTAGTTGAGGTGGGCTAACAGTAAGGTTCACGACATAGCTAAAGAGATATGACCCCCAATTAGCCCAAGGGAGTTCAAACGCCAAAATAGTAGGTGTGGACCAAAAGCCATTACTTGGATCCTTTGGGGCTGCCCATGAAGTTGCAAGCCTGTCCGATCAGCAGTACCCCCGTTGCAAACCGCTAGCCAAAAGAGCCACAAACCCGATACCTAGAGCAATCCTTCAAACGCCCTAGAAAAACCTGCTCCACCCTATAAAACCCTATTACACAAGGCCCGCAAAGAAAAAAACGCTGCAACACCCATGTGAAAGACGTGGAAACTGAAACACAACATAGCAGTCCGCAAACGACATCACAAAGTTTTTGCGGGCACCCCAGCCCTAAAACCCCTTTGACACTTTTGAACTACTAAATGTTACCCACCTATTTAAGAACCACAGTAGCGTTTAGGGTAAAGCCCGAGACTCCAAACCCAAAGCCCTATAATGGTTACACTTCATAAACTTACGATGATATCGCTTCCCCTGTTTTCCTGTTGCGAGGCTGATGAGTCGCCAAGGTTTCCTCAACCATAAATAAACCCTCAGATCCCTAAGACCCTAAACTCTTGAAGCCGGTACACCCAAAACCCTAAACCCCTACACCCTACACCCCTACACCTTTAACCCTGAATCCTGCACCCTACAGCCACCCCTTATTAGACCCTAACTACCCACGATCAAGGATCATAAGGCTTCTGTCTTTAGGCTACTTGGGGGGCGGGGGGGGCGTGCTTGCTGGTACACCCTAGAACCCGACACTCGTTTTAAAGGAGCCCTTGTGGATCCCGTTAATGAAACACCCTAAATCACGCTTTGGCTTGGAACCTAAGGCAAACACTCAAACCCTACACTCAAAGAAAGCCCTCTACATCCCTTTAAAGGAGCCCTTATGGATGCCTTTAAAGGAAATGTTTAAAGAAAGCCCTATAGATCCCTTTAAAGGAGCACCTTCTGGATCTCTTTAAAGGAACCCTACGAAGTCGCCAGGTCCTCCCGGGAACCTAAGGTAAACGGTGAAAGCCACGCCCAGGCCAAGGCCAAGAGAGCCAAGCTCGGCCTCTGGGGATTCTGGGCTTTCTTTACTTTGCTCTATGCTCTACATCAAACCATTAAGGTGTTATATATTCTGAATAAGTATTTTTGTATATATACATATATATATATATATGTATGCACAAATACATCTATAGACATGTAGTTCGAGATATACATATATATATATACACACATGCATACATACATACATATACATACACATAATATGTATCTGAATATATATATATATATACATATATATATATGTATATATAAATATATATACACATACCGTTTTGGAGATAGATCTTATATATATACACGTAGATATACCGCTATTGGAGGTTATAGAACAATTCCTGCTTGTGCTTGTTTGGACAAGCCCGACAAGCCCTGACAACTGACCCGAAACCCTAGACCCAAACCCTAAACCCGGACCCGAAACAGAACCCCGAAACCCAAACCCTAACTCGAAACCCTAACCCGAAACCTTAAACTCTATGATAGGAATTCTTGTCTTGAGGTGTTCCATTCGGATTTCGCGCCGGACTCTCCGGGATGTCGACTCTTGGAGCTCGAATTTACCAGTTTGGCCTTTTAGGTCCTATAGCATGAAGAGTAGTTTAGGGTTCAGGGCCGGGGTTTAGGAGGCCCTTTAGGTTCCATAGTGTGAGCTTAGGTTTTAGGGTTTGGGCTTTCTAGGTTTTGTAGGGTATAGTTTACCCTAAGGCTCCTAAGAGGGTCTTGGGCTCTCTGGGGGAGGGTCTCGGCTTTGGGGGCTAGGGTCCGGGATCTCACTACAAGGGTCCAGGAGCCTTGAGGTAGGGTTTAATTGTCTTTTCAGGGTTGAGAGTTTAGAAGACCAATGACCCTAAACGGAAGGGGGTTCGTTTGGACTTTCAGTGTTGGCCTCAGCGGAGTTGTGGCGAACCAGGTGGCCGAGGAAGGGCAACCTGGGTTCTGCTTCGCTAACAAACCCACAGGCTTCAAGTACCTAGGGTTTAGGGTTTAGGGTTTTAGGGTTTTAGGGTTTTAGGGTTTAGGGTTTAGGGTTTAGGGTAAGCTTATAGACCCTAGAAAATCCCTAAACAATTAGGTTTTCCACTCGAGAAAACCTACATTTTTAGGGCTCCTTACTATGATTGTTTTATACAAACTGCTACAGAAGTTGTCATTTAGGGTCCGGGCAAGGTTGTAGACGCGCCAGACCATGCAGAGTAAAGTATTTTTTGTACCCTAAACCCGAAACCCCGAAACCCTAAACCCCTAAACCCTAAACCCTAAAACCCTAAACCCTAAACCCGAAACCCCTCAACCCTAAACCCTAAACCCCAATAATGGGTTCTTTTCGGCTCAAGCTCCGATGAGCCTATTCATTAAGGTGTTCTACGGTTTTAAGAACTTTCTGTAGGGCGGGTTTAGGGTTTCTACGTTGGGACTATTGTAGTTCCCTTCAGGGCTAGTATCAACCAGATATATTCGGTACATACACCTCAGGGGTCCCTTAAGACCTGCAGTTCTCAATACCCCTGTAAGACATGTATCCCTAAGAAGCGGTAGAAGCTAGGTTTTTCAACAGAAGAACCCGACAAACCCTCCAAAACCATGTGCTACCCTAAACCCTGAACCCTAAACTCTAAACCCGAAACTCCAAACCCTAAACCCCCTGGACACTGAGCTCCGTGAAAAAATGCCCCGGGCGACTGGAAAGCGTCGGAGTGTGGGCAAAGCGGAAGAAGAAGGGGAAACGCTGGAGCTCATCCAGACCTTGAGGCTCTCTTCTTTGTTTACCCTTAGGCTCTAAGGACTCATTAAAAGGTACCATAGGGATTCTATACGGGTTCCTTTCAGGGGATCTATAACCCTTTTTATGGCTCTAAGGACTCATCTTTAAGGCTTTGGGGCCCAAAGACCATTCTTCAGAAGGCTTTTGGGGCTATTTTGAGCCTTAGGGTTATAGGGTCTAAGGTGCCCTAAACCCCTACCCCTGGACACGAGGAGCTTTTTGGGCTTACGGCTTGGGCTCAGGGTTTAGAGTTTCGGGTCTTGGGATCATTTGCCATATTCTGTCTAAGTTACCATAATAAGGTAACCATCTTATTTACCGTGTCTTATATGAGTTACCATAAGAAAGTACTTTAGACTGGCCCAAAACTGCCACAAGTCGCAGACCTTCCCCCGGAACCACAGACTCTAAACAGTAAACTTCCTTTGTACATTAAGTTAAAGGGGCCTAACCATGATTTAACTCTTTAACTCTTTGGTTGGTTTAGGGTTTAGGGTTTAGGGTTTAGGGTTTAGGGTTTAGGGTTATGATGATTTAAGGCTTCTTCCTTAAGTACAGTAAAGCCCCATAAAGTTGGAAACCGGATTGAGGCCAAATAGTGCTGGGATTCCCTATACTGTTGATGGACAAAATCCTGCATGACCTTAAGAACCCTAAACTATGGGAATTATAGTATATTCCATATCATGACCCAATATAAGGAACATGCCATAATTCCCATAGTCCTTAAGAACCCTAAACTATGGGAATTATGGTATATTCCATATATTGGGTCATGCAGGATATTGTCCATCCACAGTACACTACTCCCAGACCCCCGGGAGGATCTAGAAAGTAGATCCCTTAATGGGGGTTCCTATAAAGTACCTTTAGTAGTATAGGGCCCCAAATTAGGGGATCTACTTTCTAGATCCTCCCGGGGGTCTGGGTCTTCAGGGGATGGAGGCTCTGAGGTTCCCAACTTTTTGGCTTCTACTGTAGACCCTTGTCTAGAACCAAGAAAAGCCCCGTCTTCTGTGGTAGCTCCCATGCCGTAAAGCTCGATAGCAGACTTGGGCCCACAACTACGAAGGAGACCGTTTGGTTTCACAGTTTTGTCCCATATGATAGTTCCTATCAGGAAACGAAACTACGAAAAAGCCAACATTACACATGGCACTCCAGATTTCCAAAACCTTAGAATGCTCAGCCCCAAACCCCAAAAAGCCTAAGCCCTGAGCCCCCCAACGCCCCCAAAACCCGAAGCCCTAAGCCCTAAAACCCGAACCGCATATCATTGCGGTCCAGGCACCCTGTGCCATAGCAAGGAGAAAAGGAAAGAAGTCTGCGAACAGGCTTATCCAAAGGCATCCGGGTATGATCAGATTCACCTCGGGCTCTTTGTCGGGGTGGTTCCTTTTTGAAGGGTTGTTTCAAGGGGTTCCTTTGAGGGTTCCGTTAAAGCGAACTCTAAGGGTGTTCGTATATTCATACAGGGAACAAGGCCTATATTGCGCTCTACTAGTCTAGTTATCAAAATGCAGCTTCAGGAATAGTACCAATGATACCATACGCTCCTACATTTCCTACAATCCTGTACGCAGGCCTTGCTGTGGTTTGACGGGTAAACCTTAAAGTAAAAGCCAGAAAGTTGGAAGATGATTATCCTAAACCCTTTATGGTAAATTCTAAGGTATCCTACCCTGAAACCATATTCCAACTTTCTGGAGTTCCCTTTAAAGGGTCTATAGGGGCTACTATAAGGGATCTTTAATGGGTACTATAATGTAGTGGCTTTAATGATTCGACGTGGTTTGACTAGTAAAACTTAATGCTGGGGTCCTCCCCACCCAAACGCAGTAAAAGGAACTGCGATGAAGGTTCTGGATCGTCCCAAAAGAAGATACCCATGAACAACAAAGCCATTCTTGCAACTACTTCCGCCTAACCCTAAACCCCTACCTTAACCCGGAAGAACCTACTTTTTTGAGGACTCATATGAGGAAATCGTAATAAGGAGCCCGAAAAAGGTAGGTTATTCAGGGTTAAGGTAAACCCTAAACCCGAACCTTTAACCGCCAAGCGAAAATAAGAACAAGTATCAAAATCCCCGCAGAGATCTGGGAGTTTCGACTTCCAGCACGGACCCTAAGCTGATGGGATGCTGTCTACCGGAAACCCCATAAAGGGAAGACCCCTAAGGCCCTAGTTGAGACTCCATCTCGGCTTTGTTCTTCGATTATTATGAAAGGGTTTAAGGAATAGCTTTTGTCACATCTGTACCCCCTTTAGAACCATAATAAAAATACAATTTCCAATATTTCTCTCGGGTTTTACATGAACGAAAACAAAAACACAAATTCCTCAGGACACTAAAGATTGATTCTGACCCTTTTAGTAGTGTTTCCAAGCCGAGCCGGGTCACTCTGTCCGGACCATAGCGGTTCCAGCAGCAGCACGCGACAAACATCCCTCCCATTGACAAGACGATGGTCAAAGCGAAGGCAAGGATCCAGGTATCCTCAGATCTTCTTTCATGGTGGCTGGTTTAGGGGTTTAGGGTTTAGGGCTTTAGGGTTTAGGGTTGTGTCAGAATCCGTTTTCCCCTAATCAATCTTCAGCAATGGAGAGTCACATATCTATGCAATGACAGAACAGGATGCAAAAAGAATTGGGGCACACTTGCTGTAAGCAAAACGATGAGAGAGATAGGCTGTGCTTTCCATTCCTCTGGTAACTTGCCTACCAATCACGAAGGTTTCGACCAAACCCCTACAAAGAAAAAACAACCCAAAGTCTTGAGCCCTGAGCCCATTGCCCTAATCCCTAAACCCCCAAACCCTATTCCCTAAACCCTCAAGCCCGCAGGTCAAAATCTAAAGGACCAGAACTACACGCCACGCCCGAAACCCTTAAACCCTTAGCCTACTTCCCTAAAAAAGAAAAAAACTTGAAACTCACAAGACCTTTAACAAGAACAAAGGATCAGATAAGAAGGAGCAGTCTCTCCAGATGTGTAGCGTAGCTAGCTCCTCAATCGTGCAGACAGTCCATCCTGCGCAAATCCCAGAAACGAGCCTGATGTCCAGATGTGTATTGCCCGACCCCTCGATGTCCAAGCCCCTTGTACCTTAGTTCCCAAATAGCTGCGGAATGAGAAGTTGAAGCATTCAGCAAAGGATAGGACGAACCTTAAAGAACCTTAAACCCTAGACCCTGATCTCACAAGCCTATCAAATCATGAAGCCCTCAGCCCCAAGCCCTAAAACCTAAACCCCTAAACCCTAACCCCTGAACCCTAAAGCCGCAGCTTTCACAGTTCGATTCGCACCACCAGGTTACGAGCTCGGCGAATCGAGGTGTTGAAGGCACCGGCAGATTTCAAAACTTCGATACCTGCAGGAATAACAGCTTGGAGGGTCATAGTCATAGTGGGACCCCAAACATGAATTAAGGCATATTCCTGAATTAAAGCCAGTTGGGACTGGAAGATCTTCGGTAGCCCCTGAACAACCTGCGGATCATCCGGAACCCCGCCGCAATGATATTCCGGCACTGCACCCGGCAGGTTATTAACGACTTACATCAGCAAATCCTCTTCCCTCAACCGCCACCTGCAATGACATCTTCCTCAAAGTCGGCGATGGCGGCTCGAATCCGGGACTCGTCCACGGGGCTCGAGCACGTCGCGTCCTCTAAGCCTCGACGGTTCAGTGATTTACCTTTAAAAGATAGTTTGTGTTCGTTATTTACGACGACAGAGATATACTTGTAAAGGATTTGTCAATGCTAGTTGTAGTACAAAGTTAACCCAGGAGCAACAAAGTAAAAAGTACATCGCTGAACAGCCCAGAAGCCGTTGAAGGAGAGAAAGCTGGCCTGACAGCGGCGAAGGTCCAGGTATCGGGTCAGTTTAGGGTCTGGGGGTTAGGAAACCGAAACCCTAAACCCTTCAATGAGCCCTAAACCCTTTAAGGAACCCTAAACCCTGAACCCTTTAAGGAACCCTAAACCCTAAACCCTTTAATGAACCCTGGGCCCTTTAACGAACCGTAAACCCTAAACCCTTTGAGGAACCCTAAACCCTAAACCCTTCAAGGGACCCTAAACAGCCTGAACCCTTTCAGGGACCCTAAGCCCTTTAAGTGAAGATGCTCCGCACGAACCCTCAACTCTAAGCTGGTGATAGAACCTCTCAACACACTGCGACGGCTGCTCTGAACATGCTGATGGGGGGCCAAAGGGGAGGGTTTAAGATTCTTGGGCTAGGGCTTCCTTAATATGAGCCCCATTTTGGGAACAGTAATCCCTACTAAACCCCCATAGGCGAAAACCCTTTTGGCCTCCTATGACATGCAATCACACAGTATGGCCCGTCAAAAACCAGAACAGGGACATGCGGCATCTTATCGTTGATAAAGACGATACAATAAAACGAGGAATCGCGGGCAACGGTAATTGTTCACTCTGGCTTCTATATTTCAATCTTCTGCTTGTCTCTAAAAACAGTTAGGTGCTGTTGGCCTCTCTTTGTATGCGCCTGGGCTGCGGGCAACACCACAGATGCATGCGTGCTCAAGCAGCATACTGAACCATCGCGAAGGCTTAGGGTTTAAAGCTTACCTTAACCCTGAAGGACCTACCTTTCTAATGACTTATATAAGGAAATCATAGTAAGGAACCCTAAAAACGGTAGGTTATTCAGGGTTAAGGTAAGGCTTACCGGCTTACCTGGACACTGCGAAGCCTCAGGTGCTGTGGAGGAGGTGACCCAAAGGGTCCCATGTACCGATATAGTAGATTGTCGGGTTTCTATATTAGGAGTTACTATTATGATTTGGGGAAGTATCCCCCATAACAGTACACAGGACCTTTTGGGTGAGAGCCGGCCTGACGGCGAAGCTCCGTGTGCTCCAGCTTTTCCCCGATTTCGTTCGTTGCCATGACAGCGGAAGCAGCCCAGATGCCGAAGGGGATTGAATAATGTAAAGCTTGGTCAAGCAGAGACGAGAAGCCGCTGGGAAGGATCAGCCAAGGGGCAACGCAGGAACACGCCAGCAGTTGCACAAAAATCCGCATAATTCGAATCGTTGCTCCCGATGACGACAGGGCGTCACAGACCTGCACGAGCCCCCGAACCCAAAACTCGCCATTTCCCTCTTAACGAAACATCCCCCCAAACAATAAAAAACAAAAACCTTGTTGCAAAAAGTCCGTTAGTAACAAGTCCCTTGCCTGCGATACTTTCAGCAGCCGTTTCACCAGCAGCCGTTTCACCTGAAACTTGTGAAGGAAGTCCACGCAGGAAATGCAGAACAGGAGCGCGATACATCCACCTGGCAAGGGGGTTAGGCTTTTGGGGCTTATAAGTTCACGGCTTAAGTTACGAGACTCTACAGTTGGGGTTTCAAAGGGGTTGTAGAAGGGCTGCACCAGGTTCTTAGGGCATTTTTCGGGGCGACAAGGTGATCTGTCTAGCAGGTCCTTATTCACCGCCATTATGTAATGAATTAGGCCCCAAAAGAGCATCCTCAACATGGTTTCAGGACGACCTAATAGTCGTATATCTGGAACTCTTTGGTTAGTTCCTGCTTCACGTTCTAGGATGCCCAGCAACCTAGGAATGAAAAAAGGGCTCCCTACTTTTGGTATTGGGTAACTTTACAAGGAACCTAGGACTACTAAAAAGGAACAAGGTACTACTGGGCCTCCTAGTTCATGTTCCATGATCCAACGCTAATCGTTGCTATGGTTATGGGTCGCTTAGAGTGTAGGGGGGAATTTGTTTTATTGGGGGCCGTAGAGCGCTAGGGATTTGGGATCTGAGGCGAATCAGACCCATAGCCCCTACCCTAAGGTTCCGAGCACCGAAGTAAAATATAACTATTCTCCGAAATATTTTAGTAGCCCACATATTAGTATCCGAAACCCGAGTACCCAATTTTTGGGTGCTTCGAACTCCCCTAACACCCTAAACCCCCCTAAACCTAGGTCCCAGCCTAGCAATCCATCCACCACGCTGGAGTGAACGCGAGAGTGCGGCTTTTGGAGCTGCATGGCAGCGGCCCAGAGGCATCCCAAAAGGTGACCCACCTGGGCCGATATGGGAGTTCTCCAAAAATTAAAGGCTACCTTGAAAGGGATCCTTTAAGGGTTCCTTAAAGGGATCTATAAGGGTTCTATAAAGGGTTTGGGGTTTAGGATTTGGAGTCTCCGACAATTAGGGGTACCTTGTTTTGGGGTCCTGGATCCTACTATTTAGGGTACTATATGTGGCTATAAGGGTACCATAAAGGGTACGATAAGGGTTCCTTTAAAGGGCTCTATAAGGGTTCAGAGTTTCCGAACATTAGGGGCTACCGTTAACGGGATCCTTTAAGGGTTCCTTCAAGGGATCTATAAGGGGTCTATACAGGGTTTAGGGTTTTGGATTTAATCTTTCCGAAAATTAGGGGTACCTTGTTTTGGTACTTAAAACAAGGATCCTACTATATTTAGGGTACTATATGAGGGCTCCCTATTTTCGGAAACCCCCATATTGGAGTCTGGAAGGGTTTCGGGGTTTAGGGCTCAGGGTTTAAGAATAAATGTTTAGGGTTTCTTACGATTTCTCGTTTTGTAAGAAAGAAAACGACTGCAGAAAGAGAGGTTGTAGGGCAACTCCCTCTGAGCATACTAATGCTCAAAAAGCCTGAACCCGAGACCCCTAACGCCGCCAACCCAGGGAAACTCGACATCCTCTAGGCCGGCCCAGCTACTTGTGTGTGCCCTCAGAATCGAAATTAAAAGCATTGCTTTTGTTTTAAGAATCCGTCGGAGTTCTCTTATGGTTGAAGGGAAACCAGGTCTAGAGCACTTAGAGGCATATACTTTGACGTTCTCTCTCTCTCTCTCTCTCTCGAACCCTCTCTCTCTCTCTCTCTCTCTCTCTCTCTCTCTCTCTCTCTCTCTCTCTCTCTCTCTCTCTCTCTCTCTCTCTCTCTCTCTCTCTCTCTCTCTCTCTTTTCAGGGTGGAAGTATAAACCCCCGAGGGTCTATAAATACCACCACGGACTAGCAGACCACCTTGACTATGGTTTTGGGGACCTCATTCCATAACATTCCATAATAGAAGTATACATGGACCCTGGTGGTACTGCTTGGGTACATCGACCCTGAGGGCAAGCTACCAACAATTTAATCATATACTTTCCCGAGCAGTCTCCTACATACCTACTCCCCAAACTCCAAACACTTAATCATGGGTCTTTGAACCCTTCGGCAAGCCACAGAGCTTGGAGAGACACTGGTCCCAAATCCTAAACCCCAACCCCTTAATAAACCCTAAACCACAAATCCTAAACCCTAAAGCCCAATCCCTTGATCCCAAAATCTAACGTCCTAACTGTGGATCCAAAAACCTAACGTTTTAAGTGTCAGACCCTCTACTTAAGGGGTCATAACCTACTTTTTTATAGGGTTTGGGGCCACAGGTAAACCCCAAGCAGCCTAGCTGCAGTGCTTGGAAAGATGATGGTCCATACCAGCGTGGTCCGGAGGACGGAGCTCGGTGGCCTGCCGGGGAGTTGTGGGGTTGAGGCTTCCTTTGTTTAGGGTTTAGGGTTTAGGGTTCAAGGATTTAGGGTTTAGGGTTTAGGGGTTTAGGGTTTACAAGGGCTCCTTGAAGAGATCTATATTTCCTTTCAAGGATCTATAGGGGTTCCTTTAAGAGATTTATAGGGGTTCATTTAAGAGATCTAGAACGGCTCTATCAGGATTAATGAAGGTGTCAGGTCGAAGACTTAGGGGTTTTCGCGGGTTTCGGTAAGGCTCCCTTTGGAGGCTCCTTTGAAGGTCATAGGGTATGTATAAGAGGGTTAGGCTTCAGGTTAGGCATTTACGGGTTGTGTTCTGGGGTTTATGGTTTTTGCCGGGTGGGCGAGGGGCGAGGAGAGGGTGGTTAGTTAGGGTTCGCGGCTTAGGGTTTACGGTGGAACTTTAAGCCTTAGCTTATACTTAGACAGACAATTCAAGGTATATTCCTGAACTAAAGCCTCAAGTACCCATTATTTAAAGACTTCGGGGCCTTTTTGGGGTACCAGAACGACAGAAATGACTCGGAGCCTACCCTAAGGCTCATAAATCGCCCAAAAGCCCCCTCTAGTATGGCCTTTGGGCCCACAAGAGTGAAAATATGAGCCCTTAGAACCTATAATGAAGGGTTATCGATCCCCTTATAGGAACTCTATAGATCCCTTGTAACGAGGATTACTCGGAGCCTTATGGGAGGGATACCGGAAGATCTCAGTTCTGGGCCTCGCCGGGATGATACATGTCTTCCCCCAGTCCGTCGCCAAATAAATCTCCTCAGTTGGCCATTCTTCCCTTCCCCTGGGGATCAAAATAGCCCAAAAGCCTTATATAGTAGGGTCTTTGAGCCCAAAAGCCTTAATATGTGAGTCCTTAGATCCCCAGGGTTCTATAACCGGGTTCCTGAAAGGGATCTATAGGGGTTCTATAATGGGGATCATGGGACTTAGTACTTCCCTACTCGGAGGTAGTATTTTCGGGATAAACACTAAACCCTATAATTGATTAGAAGGTTTAGGGCTTCGGATGTCGAGGGTCTCCCTACTTAGAGGCTCATGGGTAGTTAAAAGTGGGGAAATAAGTAGAGTAACTAGACTTTATAAGCCGTATTAGGGGACTGATAACTCCACTTATAACCATGAACCTCCAAGTAGACCTCCACTTACCTAAATAGCAGGTTAAATAAACACCCTGCATTTATACCCCGGTGACCTGCTATTTAGGTAACTGGAGACCCAGGGATTTATAATAGCCTGGGAAACTCAAAGACTAGAAACGATCCTCTTAAGCCCGATAAGGGAAACAAAAACCCTGCAAAGGCCCACCGAGCAGCGTAAACGCACCACAAGCGCTTGTAAATCGACACCTCAGTTCGCTTTCTGCATAGACACATCAAGAAGAAACTAATCCCAAAGGGTCCAAAGTACTGTTATGGGAAATACTTCCCCAAATCATAATAGTAATTCCTAATATAGGAACCCTACATTCTACCATAAAGGTACTTTGGACCCTTTGGGAATTGGCTGGGAGGGCTTTACACTTCGAGTTGGGTTTGAGGGTGTGCTCAATGTTTCTTGCTACTTCTGATGCACGAACGCTTCATAGTCATACACCGAACTCGCTACCACAACCCCACCCCTAAGGCTCAAAATCGACCAAAAGCCTTACATAGTATGGTCTTTGGGCCCAGAAGCCTTAAAACATGAGTCCTTAGAGCCTAAGGGCACGGCTTCGGATAGGGAGGCTTGCGCAAAGGTTACTGCAGCCAAACTTTTCTCATGACGGCACTTAGAAACCGGTCATGGCGCCGTGGCGCCTGCAATGTTTTTGGACCCTACGATGAAAGCCTTTTTTTGCATCCCTGGAAAAGTTAAGTCATAAAGTCCTAGCTATGTCCCAAAGAGTGCTGAAGCACCCGCCGAGCGACAGTGTCGTTGGGCATCACCAAAACATGGGAGGCGCTCTGCCTCAGATAAGCTACTCGCGATGGCTCGTCACACTCGCTGCATGCACGACTAGCCAACTGGCGTACGCTTCCTGACCAACATCCACGTATACCAAGTCGTTTGCCCCACCTTAAGAGGCCCCACTTGTCCCTGACTCTACCCCCAAACCCTGAACCCTAAACTTAAACCCTAAACCCTGAACCCTAAACCCTAAAATAAACACTGAACCCTAAACCTTGAACCCTAAAATAAACCCTGAACCCTAACCCTGAAGCCTAAATCCTAGACCCTAAATCCTAGACTTCGGCTCTGAGTTTCGTTCTCTTGCACATCAAGCCCGAACCCAACCCAGAGACTCCAATATCCCGTAATTAAGGAATATACCTTAAATTATATAGTAGGATCCCTAATATGATTTAAGGAATATTCCTTAATTAAAGGATATTGGAGTGTCTGGGAACCTCCCACACCCCAAACCTTTATGGGGTTTAGGGCTTCAGTAGGGTCTTAAGAGAAGGTGTCAAGGGTTTAGCGGTTTAGGGTTTAGGGTTTTACCCCAAACCTAGCCCTAAGGGTCCAAGTACCTAATTATCGTATACTCAAACTAGCAACCTACATAACTACTACCCTAGACCTGTGGACCCTTAGGGTAGGGTTTAGGGCTTCGTGGGCTTTAGTGCTTTAGGTGGTGAGGGTTTTTTGGCTTGGTGTTCGGGCTCGAGGGTTTAGTGAGTGGGCTTTAAGGCTTAAGGGTTTTAGGGCTTAGAGTTTGTAGATCCCTTTACAGGAACCCTCAATCCTTATAGATCTCTTTCGAGGAACCCTAAACCCTCATAGATCCCATTCCCTAGGCATCTAAGGACTCATATATTACGGCTTTTGGGCCCAAAGACCATGTTACATAAGGCTTTTTGGCTATTTTGATGTCCAGGGTTTGAAGAAAACCTAAATCCTTACAGATTCCTTTCAGGAGCCCTAAACCCTCCTAGACCGCTTTGAAGAAAACCTAAACCTCAGAAGGGGCCCCCACCCTGTAATAGTGACTATAAGGATTATAGTAGGGCCCGATTATATTCCTATTATACCACTACTACAGGGTCGGGGCAGCTTCTAACCTAAAACCGCAGAGACCCCTTCGGAGCGGAGGTGCAGGGCTTTGGCAAATGGGCTCTCGATCGGAGGTCCGTCTAGTAGCGCCTCGATATCCAAGTTCCTCAGCTTTAGGGGCTTTGGGCCTAGGTACTGTTATGGGGGATACTTCCCCACATCATGATAGTAATTCCAGGGTTCCTTTCAAGGGATCTTTACGGGTTCCTTCAGCAGGATCAACAATCTCTTTCTCCAAGCTCCCCATCTCGCAAGTCGCAGCTCGCGAAAATGTTTAGACCCCCCAACTACCCTCTGATATACCCTAAGGCCCTACATACCTACTATTCAGGACCACACTCTATAAAGGGGCCCCCCCCTTTGGGCGCTCTAAACCCTACATACCTACTTTTGAGGACCATAAGGCCTCTATAAAAGAGCCCTTTGGGCGGTTCTGGTGATGAGGGTTTAGGTTCTGGAGCTTGGTGGGTTACCCAAGTTCCAAATTCCCGGGGTTTAAAGGCTTTAGGGTTTAGGGTGTAGGGGTTGGGGAACAGGAGTTTGGGGTTTAGGGGTTCAGGTTGAAGTGGTTTGGGGTTTAAGGGTTAAGTGGTTCAGGAGGTTTAGGGGTTTAGGGTTTGGTGGTTTTGGGTTTAGGGGGTTCAGGAGGTTTACGGGTTCAGGGGTTTAGGGATCAAGGTTTAGGGGTTCAGCGCTTCAGGGTTTAGGGCGTGGTTCATGGTTCTTAACAGGGCTGAAAAGTGTGCAGAGAGTTTGAGTTTTCATGAAGGATTTGCGGGGTCACCGCGAAGCGCAACTAGAAGCAGGAGTAGCAGTAGCAGTAGCAGTAGCAGTAGCAGTAGCAGTAGCAGTAGCAGCAGCAGTCGCAGTGGTAGTGGTAGTAGTAGGAAGAGCAGCAACAGCCAAACGAGGAGCAGCGACAATCATTCCAAGACACCTCAAAATCCTAGTCGATCCCTAGGGCTCCGGTTACCCAAATAGTAGGTTACTGGGGTATATAATATATGGTTAGTAAAACTACTTTTAGGTAGCTGGAGCCTTAGGGTATAACGACTCAATAGGGCCAGGGTTGTACTAAGAGGAACGAGTTCATAATGTTCTTGGTGCAAGCGCAGAGAACCCTTGAACCCTAAAGCCGCAAACACCGCTCTTTGATGGGTTCCTTTGCAAGTTCCTACAGAGTTTTGAAGGGAGGGCCAGTGCGGGAGTCTTGGTAAATAGATAAACGGGTTGGTGGGCGGCACCATTATCCCAGAGGGTCCATATATACTACCATTATGGAATTAGGTCCCAAAAGACCATCCCTATTATGGCTTTGGGGGGCTAATTCCATAATGGTAGTATATATGGACCCTCTAGGTATTCCTTACTACTCAGGCCTCTTACTCCCATCCTACAACAAACACGCTGAACCCCGAACCCAACCCAAAGAAAAGATCTTCGGAATGCTAGGAAACGCCGAGACGGCGGGCCGGTCATACGCACGAAGCTGTAAACTCTTGACCGCCCGAGAAGCACTCTCAACCTCTCAACCTTGAAAGCAAGAGTATATAATTACTTGCAAAAACGACGAGATTCTGTGGGTTGCCCAGGAGGCAGCAGTACAAGTTCACCAGTCCTAGCCCTCTTGGCCAGGCTCGCCGCACATGGTTGCCTAGGGTTTGGATTTGCAGGGTTTAAGGGATACTGTAGAAGCCTAAATTAAATAATTACCTATATTATGGTTGGGGTTCCTTATTATGATTATAGTATAATGGGCCCCAAAACCCTATTCTAATTATTAAGGCCCCTACATTATCAGGTTTAGGCTTTCGTTTGATCTGCTCTTCTTATCTTTCGCGGCCTAGGCTGCCGCATATGGATGCAAAAACCTAAACACTAAACAGGGACAGATTTCGAGCGGCGAAAGCCCTGGGGCTGTGACGTACCACGAGAAACGTTACGCATTCCCCCACTGGTCTTATTTTCCATCCCTACACGCCATAGCCGCAGCCCGAAAGCGAATGCGTGACCCTAACCCCAAGCCCTAAACCTTCCTACGCTCTTAGCCCTTCTGCGAAAAGGCAACCCACTCCAAATCCCACCCCTACGCCCTAGAACGCCCCGCAGCCCCCACAAGCTTGACAACCTTTACCCTCCCGACTTGGGACCCCCAAATCCCCAGAGACTCCAATATCCCTTAATTAAGGAATATTCCTTAAATCATATTAGGGATCCTACTATAATTTAAGGTATATTCCTTAATTAAGGGATATTGGAGTCTCTGGGTCCCCAACTCCGAAAGGAACAACCCTGCTCTGCCGCTTCGTTCGTACAACTGTAGCACATGAACCCCGGACGCACTTAAATCAACAAACTAGCGAGACAGAGAAGGATACCCGCTTTGTGAAACCCTCCTTATCCCATGAGAGACTTGATAAGGTCATTTTGAATGCCTGTAATGCGAAGAACAAAACCCATAACAACATAGTTAGTACAGCCTTCCAACACCTCATAAATGGACGAACAGATCTCCTAAATTATCGAAATCTCCAATATTACAAGAATGCTGAGCAGACCAACCCTGCAATCCCTACAACCCCCAAAACCCGTCCATGAATCCTTAAAGGAACCCTACCTATAGTCTCCATTGTAGTTCCTTTTTTGGCTACCTGGTTAACCAGTTTTATGGTTAGCTTCTTATAAAGGAGATTTTGGTGAACCAAAAAAGGAACTACAATGGAGACTTTCGGTAAGACATAAACAGAGACCAGCTGCTCAGCTCGAAGACCCCTTCTGCCCAGGCGTGAGAGACGAAGACGTGGCAGATTAATCCTCCGTTGTTGGCTATGTTACTGTTCTGCTTTCTTTTCGTAGGGAGGGCGGAGTTAGGATTTAGGGTTTATGAAAGCTTCGGGTTTAGGATTTGCATTAACTATGTTGATGTGTTCTACATATGAAATTTCTGCAGTGGGGTTTTACCGGGGCTTGTAGTACGCAAGGTTGAAGAGGTTGTCATGAGCCTGTAGGACATTTTACGACGCTTTCAATCTTCGTGGGATTTATGGAGCGTTTGCGTCTAGAGAATTAGGAGGTTTTGAGACTTCTGACCCAAAGAGTCCAAGTATCATTATGGTATATACTTAGACCCCCCCAAAATGCCCTATAAGTATATAAAAGAATGATACTTGGACCCTTTGGGTCAACTTGTATGGTTGTAGGGATTAGGAAGTTTGGGGGCTTAGGATTGAGGGAGGGAGCTGTACGAGTTGTCTTGGCCTTGGGGTTGAAGGATTTGCCTCTGGAGGACCTCAGGGCTAAGGTTAAGGATCTTCCCCCAAGGTTCCATCGGTGTATATGTAGGATATACTTCGTGGGTTCCTCCCATGGTATAACTCTAATGGGCCAATGTAGAAACTTAGTAGAAACTATGTCCATACATATATATATATATATATGTAGATGTGTCCATGGACTCTTACGGCTTGGGTCTTGGTTTCCCTAAACTAGCCCCTCGAAGCCGTACAGCCCAAGCACACATTTGATAGCCCTGTAATCAAAGGGGAAAAGGAGGGACCCTTAATGGGGACCCCTACCCTACAATGTTTTATTTTTGATAATAGCTGTTTAATGGGTATATACCTAGGGGTCCTTATTAAGGGTCCCTCCTTTTACCCTTGGATGTAAGCCAAGGGAGGCCTTCCGGATGCTTCATAAGCGCATAGCTCATGCCGCCTGCAGCCAACGTTACCGGCTTGATGTAGTGGACGTTGACCTGTTTAGGGTTTTAGGGCCTATAGGGAGTATATAGGGTTCAGGGTCTACGATTTTAAAAGTTGAGGGCGCCGGAAACAAGTTGCACCATCACCAAAATTTCGTTGATGTGGCGATGTGAATAGGAATTTTGGGTTGAGATTACACTGTACGGCCTTCTTTGTTCATGCTCTTCTGCAGAATCGCAGCTCTCACGTACAGTGAACACATGTGAACACCAAGCCCAAGTATAAGCTGTGTATAAGGTCGAAATGCCCCAAACTGTAAACCTCAGGACCTAAGCCCACTCCTTCCGCCACCTTGCAGAGGCATACCCCGCACTCCAGGACTCTATCAAGGGAAAACTTGAAGCCAAAACCTTAGAGCCTAGATGAGTCTAGAGTTTAGTGTACGTTCAAGTCTACGATGCTCTAGATCCTTACCCACCCCCCCTCCCCCCCCCTCCCACCCGCAACAAAAAACAAAAAAACTTGCAGAGGTTGGTAAACCAGACCCCACAACACATCCTAAGCCAAAAGCCTTACGCTCGTCCACGCTTCTCCCGTGATAGAGGCATACCCTATATGTAAAGTTTAACCGTACCAATAAGCATGGCTAAACCCTCAGACTCAAAACAACCCTAACTCCAAACTTTGAGATTGGGGCTTGTTCAAAGTTTGAAGAGATTGATATAGTGCAGCATGCTCTCCCCTGTAAACCCGGAAAGCCCTAACCGATATCATAAGCCCAACCTGATAAGGCTTGGAAGCTCTGCAAACCCTGTAGATACGATAGCCCCTGCAGCCCTAAACCCTATGAGCCCGAAAAACCCTAGACCCCTACAGCCCGGGCTGTAGCTTGGGCACTGCCCTCGTTCTGCAGCAGTTGGATTCTTCTGGTAATATGAATAGAATATGACCCCGAATATAGATCTACTTGTTCTTCGAATAGAATATGACTCAGTAGGACCCCTAATGTAGACGATCCCTAACCCCCAGACCATGAAACAGAACATAGACTGTACCTTCTCCCACCTGGTAGAGGTTAGGGCCCTACCATGAAAAAACCTCTAAACCCCTTATTAGAACCCTTTAAAGGAACCTGAATAAACCTTTACAATCCTCTAACCACCTTATAGCACCCTTTACAGGAACATTAATAAACCTTTAACATCCTCTAAGCCCCTTATAGAACCCTTATTAAAGGAACCTTAGTAAACCTTTAAAGGGACCCGAATTATTGGGTCCTTTGGACCCTTAGAGTGTTGGATCAGGAAGCGCACGACTCCCACCTGGTAGAGGTTAGGGCCGTAGTCCGTGAGCTGATGCTTGGGGTTCGGATGCTCGGAGCTGTCGGGAAGCGCTCCACGCCTCAGGGGATGTAGGGTTTTCGGATGTGGTGTGTGGGATTTCGGGGTTAGGGTTGGAGTTAGAGGCTATGCACGTATCCCCAAGCCCTACAAAATAGTAGGTTACGACGGCTTCTATTGGAGGGTCTAACCCTTACCCTTCAGACAGTAGCTTCTTGGATCCCCAAGTAGGGCAAGCCCTAAACCCCAAACCGTTATAGGGTTTGGGATATTTAAGATTCCGGATTTAGGGTTTGTTGGGTCCGTGCCTCCAAAGCTTCCGCACCTCCGAAGGGCATGGCTTCCGAGTTTAGCGTTTCAGGGTTTAGGTTTCACGGTTTAGGGTTGCCGGTTGCTTTTCATGGCTTTCAGGATCTTGTAAGGTTTGAGCAGGGTTGTTGTGGGGGTGTGTAGGGCTGGTGTAGGTGTTAGGGCTATGACAGGGCTTTCGGCTTTGTGGTTTAGAGTTGACGGAGGGTGTTGAAGATATTTACGGGTCTTCGTTATTGAACTCTACAGTGCTTCTTATGCATTCTTTTAGGTCCGGTATCGTTGAAGTGCGACAGAGATAAGCTGCCCTCAGTGGTAGCGAGTTTGCCAGGTGCTTTGAGTCGCATGGGTTCAGGGTTGCGATAGAGGCATATGACCTGCACAAGTCGATACGCTTCTAGGGGTTCAATTGCTTAGGGCTTTGTGGTAATGCGGTTGAAGGTTTTGGGGTGCAGGGGGTTGAGGGGCTGAGGAAGCTCTAGAAGCCTAGTTGTGTCTGTTTAGGGGTTTCCCCAAACTCCAAGCCCTAAACAAGAAGAATCCGAGAGAGAGCCTCGTTGACAAAGCTGAAGAACTCCCGCTTGGTGATGCACCAGCGCTCCGCCGGCACTTGCCGATGGGCGTCCATGTCTCCATAGATCCCGGACCCTAAACCGACTCAACTCCCACCACTAGTGGGAGCCCGAATGACCTCCACACAGGGCCTTGAAGCCTGCTGCTGTACTCCACATAGAGCTTGGGCATGTGTAATATAGGAACTTTACGGCTCTAAGGGGTATGTATCACTACCCATTCTTCACACCCCCAAACTGATCTTGTGGATGTACACTATCGTCAAGGCAAGTGTCGGAGAGGTGCTTTGCTAATGGGCTTCAGCGCAACGGATTGCGACTGTAAGGCTTAGGGCTTGGCTTGATCATGCGGGTGGTTGTCAAAATTAGGGTCCCTTTTCGGATCCTTATTCTAATACGGCACCTAACACTTAGGGTACCCAAAAAGGGACCCTAAGACCCTAATTTGACAACCGCCCATGCAGTTCCTTGACCACTAAACCCTAAACCGTAGCATGGCCTTTGACACTCATGAAACCGTGCACCCTCTACTAATGCCTTGAGCACAAGTCCGTTTGCATCAGCGCAGGCCTATACCTACTTGTCGGGTATCATGGGGAACTAAAGGTTAACCTTCTTTTGGATATATAGGGACTATATAGGGACTGTACTACCCCAAAAAGGTTCAAGGTTACCTACTCGACTACTGGAATAAGGTCTTGGCTTTTAGGGTTTCAGGTTTAGGGCTGAGGGTTTAAAGCTTAATTAGGGCTTGGTGTTGCCTTGGGTTTTAAGGCCTTGGGCTTAGGGCCTTAGAGTTTGGGAGGGTTTTGGGGCGTCGGGTGGTTTCGCCTTTTTCATCCCCAAGTGGATATGCGTCGAAGACTGCACTAGCACCTAGTTTGTCCTAACCCCGCATCAAGCTGCTTCTACAGGGGCATGGCTTCACAAGATGGAAATTAAGGGCTGAATTCAAGTTGGGGCTTTACTCCCCGGGCTTTCTATGGCTCCCAGCAAGAGGCCTAGACTGAGGGGTTTAGGGTTCGGGAGAGCGACAAAGACTCTTTCGTAGAGTAAATTACACATATCCACAAACTATGCATACTTCTTTTACATTGTGTAGCGATATACTGTATAACATGATTGCACATTGGTACGCTACATTACACTACATTACATTGCACCGCAATGCATTGCATTACATTGCCTTACGTTAGCGCTAACATTTACATTACAGCAGATTAGATTGCTTTACATTACTCCATTGTTTAATCTTCCTTGGCATAACAATCATTACAATACTATACATTCCTTTACATTACCTTCAACTGTTGTACAACACCTTGCATTACGTTTCATTGCACTACATTACATTAAGTACTCATTCGCACAGACATATATATATATATACATACACACATGTGCATATTTGTATTATATAATATACTACACTACACAAAAGACTATACTTACCCAAGGACGTACATACATACATACATACATGCATACATGCATGCATGCATGCATGCAGGCACACGCACACAAATACATACACCCACACATGATATGGGAGTTTCCGAAAATAGGGGGACCCTAATATAGTACCTTAAATAATAGGATCCTTAACATAAGGACTCCAAAATAAGGTACCCCTAATTTTCGGAAGCTCCCATATACTACAAGGGTTCATGGAGCCGTTGGGCCGCAAAGGCCTTAGCCGAGGCCAGGGCTCTTTCTTGGTCTCATCCTGCCTGGCTGCTCTCGGTTTTAGGGTTTAGGGTTTAGGTCAAGTAAGGGTTGTATGTGGGGTTTCTATAGGTTTCTATAAGGTGTCGATAAGCATTTATGAACAGTTTAAGGGTTGTTAGGATGGGTTGGCAACTTTCCAAGGATAAAGGCTGGGGCTTGTGGAGTAGTCTAGAGACTTATAGGGTTCAGGGTTAACGGCTGAGGGTCTAGGATTCAGGATTTAGGGCTTAAGATTCTCTTTGTATACAGAGGGGGCCTTATAGGCCTTCTACCTCGAATTTGTCAGGCTGCTTCTTCGTATGCCCTCTAAGACCGACAACCATAGGCAAGGATGAAGCAGGCTTTCCAATTTTACATACAATTTTAGGTATAACTTCGAATTTAAATCTTTACCCTATGCCTCCAAGGACCTTATTATGGGGTTCTTAAGGGGTCTAGGGCGTTAACTATGAGGTCCCTGGAGGGATAGGGTTGTTGAAACTGAAATTCTACCTTGTTCCCGAAGGCAAGAGGCCGAGTATTGCCCCTGAGGTTCAACGGGGCGAACCATGATACTGGCCAGCATAGGCTCAACGTCCAGAGCCAGAAACCCCGGTTCAGTGTAGATTACAGGGTATATAGGAGCTGAAGTGGGGCTTCCATCTCTTCCTCAGTCGCTGTGATCTTGATCTTCCTCCGTCTCTCCCTGAATTTAAGGTTTAGGGCTTAGGGTTTAGGGTTTAGGGTATGGGAGCTTAAAGCAGATCTGGGGCTTTGACCCGATGTGACCTGGCTAGCTGAATGCGCTAGATAAAAGCAACAGATGGGCGGTTGTCAAAATTAGGGTCCCTTTTGGGTACCCTAAATATTAGGTATAATAGGGACCCAAAAAGGGACCCTAATTTTGACAACGTAGCTGAGCAGAGGCTTGATCGCTGTAGCTGCACGTTGCTCACCTCGCCGTACTCTGTGAAGGTAAGGTTCAGAATGAACGGAAAAGAACTCAGACTCCCCTCATAATAGCTCATGTCATGTACGTAATATAGAAGAAAGAAGCCTGATTATAACCATAAAATTAGAAGCCACCAAACCCTGTTCCAATAGTTCAAGCTCCTGCAGTAGCCGGGCTCATGTGGCGAGTAGCATGATGAAACAACCAGGTGGGCATCATCATACTCGCACTGAGCCGTCACCGTCTCTGAGTCACTCTTTGGAAAGTGAGCCCAAACACAAGTGCGACTGCAACGCTCTGCCCGAAGAAACAGTAGGAGCAGCCTTAGCCCTAAACCCCAAACCCTACCAAAACTTTAAACTCTCTACCCCAAACGCTACAAACCTCAAACCCTGAATACCCCAAACCCTGCAAAACCTACAAACCCTAAACCCTACAGAAAGGGCTGCCATGGGGCCTGCGTTTGTGAAAAGGCAGGTTTCACGGTCCCAAAGGGTCCAAAGTACCTTTATGGTAGAATGTAGGGTTCCTATAGTAGGAATTACTATTATGATTTGGGAAATATCCCCCATAACAATACCTTTGGACCCTTTGGGGGTCTCAAACCCTACAAAAAAAAACGCATTCAAGAAGCTCACATTCCTAAACAAGCCGCCACACTACCTACAAACCCTACACCCTAAACCCCTAAACCCTAAACCTTGGGGGTCTCAAACCCCACTGGGTGGGTTTAGGGTTTAGGGTTTAGGGTTTATCCGCCGCCTTTTCCAGGCATGCCAGCGACCGGAGTTGCGCCGTGGACAACAGGAGCGCCGCGCGCGAAGCAGAGCTGGCCTGCTCACCTGTGGGGGGTCTTAGGGTTTGGGGTTCAGGGGTTTGGGTGTAGAGTTTAGGGTTTAGTGGATTCTTTGTTGGCTTACCCTAAGGGTCCAAGTAGTCAATATTATAGGACTTCTGGGCCTTTTTTTGGTGCCACAAACCAGAAATAAGGACTATCTGGACTCCTACGGCTAGAGTTTCGGGTTTGGGATGATATTTAGATTGTCTTGGGTTTTAGGGTTTAGGGTTTAGGGTTTAGGGATTTAGATTGTCTTGGGTTTTAGGGTGTATACGGCCGTTACATGATACCATATGCGTGAGGGGGTTAGGATTAAAATTTAGGCGGTTAAGGGTCGCCTGGATGAGCTTCAGGGCAAAAATCTTTGTCAAGAGGGGGGGTCATGACAGCTCAACTACGGTTGATGATATAAACCGTAGTAAATAGTAGACTGTAGGGTCTCTATGTTTGGACTTGCTGATATGATTTGGGAAAGAAACCCCCATGACAGTACCTAGTACCCTTTGGGGGTCTCTATCATGGTCATCTGCGGTCCAAGCTGCAGGCCGTGACACACTGGCCGCAGGTCACCATGTCCAAAGCGTTGCTACCTCTTGCGAGGTTTCGGGTCGAGGGTTTAGAGTTCATCGTCGAGGGTGACAGTAAACCCCATAAAGTAGAAAAAATCGGATTAAGGCCAACTAGTGCTGGGATTCCCCATACATTACTCTTCAGGATTGAGGCTATTGGGTTTCCAACTTTTGGGCTTCTACTGTAGAGGGTTCGGGTCTTGGCTTGGAGGCTTAAGGTTGAGGGTTTGAGATGTTGGGTCGAGTGCTTACGGTTGATGGTATAAATCCTGCATGACCCATAATAAGGAATACACCATAATTCCCATAGTTTAGGGTCCTTAAGGTAGTGCAGGATTTCTATCATCAACAGTTAGGGTGCCTAAGCGCTGGGCAGATGCGGGAGGCAGTTGTTAAGATCTTCGCTGCAGCCCCTGATAGTAGCCGCCTTGCACTGTCATGGTACTAAGATCAGCTTGCGATGTCCTTGAACTTCAACAACTAACCATCAGTTCTGAACCCCAAAACCCGACACTCCTGCCCGGTGAAATCAATCTACTTTGAAACATGACAATCCGAGAAGGACGGGCCCATTTCCTTTGAAGGCACCTTGCCCGACCCCGGGCAAACCCTAAACTCTTAACTACCAATCAAGGTGTACATGGGAAAGTGCCGACAACAGCATTTTTCAAAGAGTCCAAGACATATGTATAGGTTCCCTGTGGCCCATAGCAATGAAAGCAGTATTTTCCGACAGAGGGAGACTCAAAGCAAAATGGGGACAAGAGCCATAATTACGAGACTGAATCCGAGTTGTTGATTCATAGTAGAACCATCTTGCGCTACAGGTAAAGAGGTACCTAATCAGCTACCACGGACTGGAGCGATTTGGGCTTGATCCTAAAGTGAAATCCCATGTTGTAAACCCAGGAGCCAGGTATGTTATAAGGAGCTATGAAGAAGAGTCAGGTGTATATCCATGTGCAAGGATACGCGGGCGCTTAGGATCACACGATGACAACATCCAGATCTCGGTGTGATTCATTTCTTGGGTGCGGGTTGTTTGACCTGCCTAAATCCAAACACCTAAAAAGCAAACCCCGAAACATTCACGATCCGGTTATCAAGCTGCCACCCTGCCGTTCTCGTCCTTGAAAGTGGAACTGTGAGTAATGGAGGTTGTCCAGGTCAACGGTCAACGGTGGACTCCAAAGCCAAAGATTCAGGCAATTTGTCACAGCTGCCATCGAGCCATCGAGGCTTTAGGAGCTGCTCTGGCCGTACTGAGAGTCAAGCACTGTCAGGCCACCTGCGGCATCGGGGCCGCAGCAGCTGCTCTGGCCGTCCTCTTCAGTAACTTCATTACGTGTAGAAACACCTGAGAACCACATGGGCGGTTGTCAAAATTGTGGTCCCTTTTTCGGTACCCTAAATATTAGGTGCCGTATTATAATAAGGACCCAAAACAGGGACCTAATTTTGACAACCACCCACATGACTCTTCGGATCGGCATGGCCCATCGCTGAAGGCCTCAAGGAAGTCTGCAGCATCGGGGGTGCCCTCGTGGTGGCTTTTGAGGGTTTAGGGTTTAGGGTTTAGGGTTGCTTTGATCGATACACTGCATCCGCTGCCCGGTCGCTATCGAGGGTACAAGGATCCTCGATCTGCTAAATTAATTGCGACCCTAAATTAGGTTCAGAGTTGATGGTTTGTCTTCAACCAAATAGTCAAGATGCGACAAACAGTCATGGCTTCATACAATCTTTCAAGGTTTTCCATCATTACAACCCTGCTAAAGCCCGATCCTGAACCCCAGACCCCAAACCCACATCAGGATAGTTCTCTAAACTAGGGTCCCTTTTTAGGTCCCCGAAAAACGACGGCACCCGAATAACAGGACCCTAGCAGGGACCCTCATGTAGAGAATTACCCATCAAGGCAACGCCTCGGTGCAGCTCCATGACGACATGCAAAGATTGCTTCCAGGCAGCACCTGAATTCGACACAGCGCTGCCAGTAGCAGTAGTCGTCGTAGTACTAGGTGGTGGTGCGGGTGGCGGTGGCGGTGGCGGTGGCGGTGCGGGTGGCGCTGGCGGTGGCGGTGGTGGTGGTGGTGGGGATCGTCATCATGGTAGTTTTAATTTAATTGTGGCAAGAATGAAACTGCGACCAATCAGCACACTTGCAGTCTCAGATAAGACAGCAAGACCATCAATACTCACGCAGAAGCAGCTGCTCCAAATTCTACCCATAGGCCCCAAAGTAGTTCCTTCTTGGGATTACCTTATAGGATTCTAAATATTAACCCCAAGAAGGAACTGCTTTGGGGCCTTGGGGCAGACTCTAACACCCAAACTTTAGGACTGGGGACGCCGTTGAGTTGCGCACGGGGAATCGTCAGACCTGAAGCACTTACGTCAAGGGTCCAAAGGACCCAATAATTAGCTACTCAGTTTTGGGACAACAGTTATGTAGGCTCGGAGTTTGGAGAGTATATGATTATTAGGTACTTGGACCCTTGGGGTTATACTTACTACCCGACACAGTCCTCGAAGAAGCTCAAAGTGCATGCAGGGTTAAAGTCTTTCAGTTTAGGAACACCTGGGTGTAGGGTCAAGGGCTGGGGACACGGATGATTCTGACCGCTACTTAGAGGTTCATGGGGCTTAGAAACTAGGGTTATAATTAAAGTAACTTCACTTTTATGTACTTATCATACCAGTTATGGTACTCCATGAACCTCCAAGTACACCCTTGACCGTCCGAACTTCCGAACCCGCCAGTCCTGTTCCCAGCTTAGCAACGAAGCCGAAATCAACAGGGCTGAAGACTTAAACACCTTGAGCCCAAAACCTAGAAGCCCCACATCTTCAAACCCCTGAGAACCGCTAAACCCTCGACCTCCTTTTGGAACTCTTCTACAAGCCCTCATATTAACACCTTTGAGCCTCTAAAACAGCAAACTCCCTAAACCCCAAACCCTAAACATCGGATCTACCCTCCGAGGCCCCCGCATGCATTGAAGGCTCTCATACAAGCGCTGTGGGTGACGAGATCTGCTACCAGGCCTGACGCCAGCAGTTTAGGGTTTATACCTTAGCCCCGAAGAAACCACATTTTTAAGGACCTATATAAGGAAATCAGAATAAGGAACCCTAAAAAGGTAGGTTATTCAGGGTTAAGGTAGGGCAGCAGAAACGAATAAGGGCATGAGCCCCCAAAATCCTATGTAGCTTCATATTTGGGAGAGTATATGATTAGTAGGTACTTGGACCCTTGGGCTAGGGTTTCATGGCTTATGGCCGGGTTGGGGGTGTTGGAAGCGAGCAAATGGATGTTGAACGGATGTTGCACACCCTGCTAAACTGATGGGAGGCCAAGAGTGGGGTTTAAGATTCTTGCAGCTTCCAGGGTTTAGGGTGTAGGGGTTCCTCAACATGAACCCTATTATGGGAACCCACAATCAATACGGAACCCCATAGGCTAAAACCCCTTTTGGCCTCCTATGCTCAACGGCAAGATGGTCCAACTAACCCATCTCAGCGATCCTTGCGGCATAAATCCCACAAGAAAGCCTCATCAGAACCTCATATCAAAGCATCATGAAACCCATGTCGAAAAGCGCCGAAACCTCGTTCTTTGGATTTTGAAGATCCCAGACACATCCCTTGCGAAGTCCTGGAAAACACTCCCTGCAAAGCTGCGACACGCGTAATGAGTGCTACCGGAGCTGGGGTTACAAGCGACTTGTCCTACCTTGTCTCGGGTTGAGGGTTTAGGGCCCTTATAAAAAAGGGCTATATGAGGACTCTAGGTAAACTTCCTAGAAGGGGCCAATACGGATTGTATAAATTGCTCTTCTAGTACAGGATTTGGCTAACGGCCCCGACAAAAGTCAGGACAAATTTTCCTTATCAGGCTCGGTAGGGATACATGGGTGGTTGTCAACATGATGGTCCCCTTTTTGGGTCGCTATTACAGTACTGCACCTAATATTTAGGGTACCCAAAAAGGGACCATGATTTTGACAACTACCCACACAGACCGCAGTAATCTGGTAATACTGGGAGACCAAAATCCTCCGAGCCCCGCCATCGAATGCCAGCTGCTGCATCAGTGCCAAAACCATGCTCCACTTGCCGCCTGCGAAAAAAGTGATCACAGCCGTAATCTTGAATGCGAGGGTATAGAGTTCGTTTGAGGTCTATCCAAGAGAAACAATCTCCATACATCATGTGCCCGTCAAACGCTGTTGGTAATCTGACTGAGCACTTGCGCAGACTACATGCCACATCCCAACTGCCAACTAGAAGCGCCTGCTCGAACGGAAAGGTATCTATATCCAGGTCACCAATTTCTCGTTTAGGGGTTGAGGTTGTTCAGGCTTTTCCTATTGCTTGCGCGTAGATTCTACTCGGACGGAATTAGAAGGCTATGGTTTTGAAGGTCGAGCTTTCGAGAAGGTGTAGTGTACCTTAAGGGTCCACAGTACTGTAAGGCCAACGTATACACTATCTGGGTACATGGACCCTAAAGGGGTATTGAGCAGGTTTGGCTTGGAACTTGCGCTCATCCTGCCTTTCTCGCATGCGCTGATGGCAGCGTTGTAGCACACCTGGGGTTGTATAATAACCGGGTATGAAAATCCTTATTCCTGAGTGTTGTTATCGTTTTATTTTCTTCTTATCGATTTACCACGAACAATGCGTTACCGTTTCGTTATGTTTCGTTATCGTTTTGTTTTCTTCTTATCGTTTTTCCACGGAAAACCCATCAAAACCGAACAAGGACATGTCAAGACTAAACTTTGCAGCACGGGGTCATTATACAGTCCCACCTTGCTTTCAACACTGGACTACGCCAAGAACCCGCTCTCTTCCCCCGCATGCGTCCCTCTGTCAACTAATTTAAGAGAGTTTGCATTTATTTAAAATCAACCGCTGATTGGGTCGAGGTTCGTTTCGGGTTCCATGTTTGGCTGGAACCCCAAGGGTCCAAGTACCCAATATTCATATACTCTCCCAAATCCTAACCTACAGAACTACTATCCTTGAACCGAGTACCTAATTATTGGGTCCTTCGGACCCTTGGGGGAAGATTTGAGTTTGAGCCTGAAAGCTGTAGAATTAATCAGGCTCTATAGGGCTCTGGGCCCGAAGCCCTGCAACCCAAACCCTGCTTATATGGGAGTTTCCGAAAATAGGGGACCCCCAAGAAAGTACCCTAAATAATAGGATCCTTATTAAAGGACCCCAAAATAAGGTATCCCTAATGTTCGGAAACTCCCATAGATTCCTACTATAACAGCTCCAAAATAAGGTACCCCTAATTTTCGGAAACTCCCATATATGTACCGGTACATCCTAGTTGTTGGGTATCATGGGGAACTGAAGGTTAACCTTTTTGGTTACGTAGGCGTTGTATAGGGACTATACTTCCCCAAAAGGATTAAAGGAGACTACTGGGGTATGCGGGCTTGCAAGTAGAGCAACAAGTGAAGGTGGCTTGCCATTCATGCCACATTCTGGCACCGCCGCGCCAATGAGACTTCATCTCAGCTTCGGTATTCCACGAGGAGACTGGGGGAGTTCACCACTGGACGAAGCGGCTACGGTTCCTCCAGGACCAGCGACGGAAGCTTCTTTTCGCGAACCAGCTCGTCCTGCAGGGCGCTCTCTGCAGTCTCGCATACCATCAGAACGTACATAACAAACATACGTACGCAGCATGCACGCGCGTATGTACGTATGTCCCTGAGGACACCCTGGACCGGAGCTGTGGTTTAGGGTTAATGGTTTAAGGTTTTATCCGGTGACCCCAGACCCTTTAAAATGGTCGGTTATGACCCCTTAATCAGAGGGTAGAACCCTTAAAACGGTAGGGTTTTTGGTTCCCCAGGTCGGGTTTAGGATTTACTCAGCTCCCATAAGGATCCCTATTATATTCCTATTATACCACCATTACAGTGGGGGCCCCTTCTTAATTTAGTTCGCTGCGACCATCATCGCATGGAGCACGGAAATGCAGATCGCCGAAAAAAACTACCACAAAAACAAAGCAAACACCTGTCACCCCTAAAATCAAAAAAACTCTAAGCAACCTACACAAAGCAGCGCCCATTGTGCACACAACATGGGTAGTTCTCTAAATTGACGTCCCCTTTCGGGTCCCGCTTATAAGGGTGTCGTACTATGCTTGAGCACACGAAGAGGACCCTAAATAGGAGAACCACCCGCATATGGTTGACAGCGCAGGCTCTGTTAGAAAAAAACATTGGTTGAGAAGGTCAGTGCTCTGGATTTCCTGAACTCTGCAGTTTCAGTGGGTGGGGTAACCCGAAGATTTGAAGGCTGTAAACCTAACAGCCCTATAAGCCCTGAAAACCCTATAAGCCGCACATAAAAGCCCTACAGTCCGCTTAACAGAAGCGTTCAGATGTTGAAAATAAAGGAGCCCTAAGACCTTCATCAAAACCTGGAAGGGCACCCTAAACCTCAAACCATGAGGCTTAAACCCCCCCAAATCCTGAAGGCCCCAAAATCCTAGAACCCTGGAGCCCCCAGCCCAGAAAGCCCAATATGCTTTACAGTAGAAGCCCAAAAGTGGGAAACCCAGTAGCCCAACTCCCTAAGAGCAATGCAAGGGGAATCCCAGCACTATTTGGCCTCAATCCGGTTTCCAACTTTATGGGGCTTTTCTGTACTTAAGGAAGAAGCCTTAAATCATCATGGTTAGGCCCCTTTAACTTAATGTACAACGGAATATCTTTCATTATGGTAGGTACCCTTAGAGAAACCATTGGAGGGACCCTTGAAGGGATCCTGTTTCAAGGAATCCCTTAAGGGTTACAGGGTTCAGGTAACTCAAAATCCTCAAAAAAAAAACTAACCCTGCATGGGCTACAATGAGAGTTTAGGGCTCCCAACATAGACACGCTATACTCTACTACATAGGACTTTGGACCCTCTGGGACGGGTTTAGGGCTCGGGGTGCTTCTCTTCCAAGGTGCCCCAAAACCCTAAACCCCGGCCTTAAAGGAGCCCTTGGAAGTACGCATAATCGATATCTGTAAGGACTACCACAGGGGTTCAGTAACTCCGGGTGCTTCTTTTCCTACAAACCCTAAACCCCAATAACCTACTATTCAGGCAACTCTGGGTGCTTCCCCAAATCAGAATAGTAATTCCTAATTTATTTAGAAACCCTACAGTCTACCATATTATAGACATTTTGGACTCACTGGGACGTTTTTTGTTGGCTCTGGATTTGGACTGCTCTTATCTCTGCTCCGGTCATACCCGTAGGCATCTCTTGCTGCGCGATCCATTTGCGAAGTGTGTTGCCCGTCGTCTTCCGAACCACTTTGCGGTGTTCTTCGAATGCCATTTGCATTCCACTCATGATCCGTTGAGCGATCAACGACATGCCGTGGTTTGTCATGCTGCGCTGGCGCTTAAGCTGCTCCTCCATGTACATTGGATGTAGGCATAGGCAGTAGATCAGCCATAGTCTCGACCTGATCTGCGAGCTCATCTGGAGCATCGAACAACCCACCTGCTCACCGTGCTGCTCCACCGGGATGGACTGTGCAACATCCACATCTAAGTAAGGATCTTCCGTCGCCTTTGTCTCTGGCTCAAAGAGGCTCTGCAAGCCAGCTCGCAGTTCTGTGCTGCTGGCACTCGGTGCTTCTCTTCCCTAAACCCTAAACGCCAAACCCTAATCCCCAATAACCTACGGTTCAGGTAACTCATAGAACCCTACTATAGATCCCTTATAGGATCCCTTTAAAGAACCCCTAAGGACCCCCCTTGAAAGGACCCCTGCCTATGGGTGCTTTGCTTCTCTTCCGGGGCGCCATAGTATCCTTTTAAGGACCCCTAAGACTCCAATATACCTTATAATTAAGGAATACCTAGGGTTAGGGCTCCTTTAAGGGATCTGTAAGGGATCTGTAGGGTTTAGCTTCTCTTCCCTAAACCCTAAGCCGTACTATAGATCCCTTATTATAGCACCCCTTTAAAGGTCCCCTATAGATCCCTTATAGTAACACACCTTTTGGGTGCTTTGCTTCTCTTCCGAAAAGGTTACTCACAGAACCCTACTATAGATCCCTTGTAGGATCCCTTTAAAGGACCCTACGGACCCCCCTTTAAGGGACCCCCCCTTTGCTTCCGGGGCGCCAGAGTCAACTCCAGGCTTTCGGAGCGAAGGCTCCGGAGCAAGTCGAGCGCGGAGGCCCAGAGCCCTCCTGGGCTTCTCTTGGCTTCCTTTAAGGGGCTCCTGTTAAGAGTTCCTTTAAGGAGTGCCTTTAAGGGGCTTCTTTCGGCTTCCTTTAAGGGGCTCCTTAAAGAGTTCCTTAAATTAGGGGTACTTTAGCTTCTTTAAGGGGCTACTTCCAAAGAGTGCCTTTAAGGGGATCGTTTTAAGAGTGCCTTTAAGGGGATCCTTTTGAAGAGTGCCTTTACAGGGATACTTTTAAAGAGTGCCTTTAAGGGGATCGTTTTTAAAGAGTGCCTTTAAGGGAATCCTTTTTAAAGAGTGCCTTTAATGTCTTTTACAGGAGTGTTTTAAGGGGATCCTTTAAAGAGTGCCTTTAAAGGGCTCCTTTTGCAGTTTAAGGGTTTCCTTTCGGGTTCCTTTAGTGGGCTCCTTTTAAAGAGTGCCCTTAAGGGTTCCTTTAAGGGTACTTTAGGGTTCTGCCTTTTGAGAGTTCGTTTGAAGGTACATTAGGGTTTTGTGGTTTAAGGTCCTGAACCCGATAAAAAAAGGGGTTACGATAATGATATTCCAACTTTCTGGCTTCTACTGTAGGAGGGTCATGATTTCCTTAGAGTACGCCCGTGGGTCCTTGTTATGGAGACTCCAGCCTCCTCAAAGGATTCCTTTAAGGACTCCTTTAAGGGTCCAGTACAACACCGGACCTGGGCTCTATAAGGACTCATATTTTAGGCCTTTATGGGCCTCAAGACCATACTATTAAAAGCTTTTGAGCTATTTTGAGCCTTAGGGTAAGGGTTCCTTGAAGGGATGTTTTGAAGGCCTCTGTTTAAGGGTTTCTTCAGGAGGGGCGAAAAAAAACACTTTGGGTGGGGGGGGGTCTTGATGATCCCTCCTGGGTCTTCTTAGGGTTTGGGGGGGGTGGATTTCGAGTTTGTCGTGCATTAGATGTTTTTGGTGGGGGGCTCCTAGGGGGCGTAGAAAGTTTGGGAATTCAGGGGGTCTTACTTGAATCTACCATAACCTACTATTTTGTAGGTTGTTACTACAAGCCCCAATATGGAATTTATAGGGGCCCTACGAAAAAGTAGGTTTCGGTAGGTTCAGGTAGGGTTTCAAGTTGCGGGTTTGGCAGTTTCGGGGTCTGAAGGGCTTTGGGGTTCCTTTAAGGGTTTTTGGGGTTCCTTTAAGGGATCTATAGGGTTTTAGGGTAGAGGGTTGATGATATAAATCCTGCATGACCTTAAGGACCCTAAACTATGGGAATTGTGGTATATTCCCTATATTGGGTCATGCAGGATATTGTCCATCCACAGTATTAGGCTTTGCGGGGTTCAAAGTTTAGAGTTCTGGACTTCAGGGTCTTAGGCTTTTTGGTGCTTTGAGTTTAAGGTTAGGGTTCCTGTAAAGATTGATTGAAGGGCTGTTAATTAGGGGGAATCTGGCTCCCTCCTGGGTGTTTGAGTCCGTTTGAGGCCCAAGGTTTAGGGTTTCTGAGGGAGCTTCGAGTTTGGGGGAGTCTAAATCGAAATACCTCGATTTTCGCACTGGGATGTACTGGGCTTCCGAAACCTGACGCGAGTTGTCAATGCTTATCCAAAAGGGGCCCTTTATGTCTGACTCTCCCATGCAGAGTTCTGCAAGATGGTTCGAGTAGAGCGGCTCTATACCTACATCCTGAACAGTCAATCTGGATGACTACAGCTTCGTGTGTAGAACTTGAGGCCCAGGAACCTTTAGATTTGCCTGTGTCTAGTGGTGTATAGTATAGACACCTCCCAACTACCCGCCAAGATACCTTATAAATAGACCCTAAGACCCTATAGACCCTTTACAGCAACCCCCTTAAACCCCTTATAGATCCCTTTAAAGGAACCCGTAGACCCTTATAGATCCCTTTGAAGGAACCCTAGGCTGTAGTCGGACAGGCAAAGTTAGTTCCGAACCCCCTGCGGCCCGAGGCAAGATGGCTCTCTTTGGGGAATCATGCAGGCCTTGTGTCCCAAAGGGTCCAAGTATCATTATGGCTTTATTCTTATAGGGTACTTTGGGGGTCTAAGTACCTACCATGATGATACTTGGACCCTTTGGGTGTATGATAATGTGCTTGTCCCTTGTAGAAGCTGTCTAGGCATAGTGCATGTTCGTTTTGCCGCAACTGTGCCAAAACGGAAGTGACAGGCGTTTATTGCCGTCAAAGCTCCTTCTACATCACTCATCGTGGCCCTTGCATCCTATATCTGATATTCATCTCCCTCAAAAGTTCGGAAAATGCAGGGCGGCGCAGGTTGAATTTGGAGCTCCGCGTCTCGAAGACCCCGTTGCTGCTATACTCCAGCTTTATGCAACTTAGAACTTTAGCCGACTGCGTCTCGGAAATGGGGCTGCCGACGGCGTCTGCAAAATGCCATGGATATTGAAGTTACAGTCGGCAAGCATTCCTTGCAGGACTTCCAGCTTGAAGCACTTCACAAGGCCCGGAGGTCTCTTGCAAGGCAGGAAAGTGCTCTCTTTGATCTCCATCTCGTGCGACTCGTAGGCGAGGTGCCAGACCGCCCCGTCTTCGTCGGACTTCACATGGATCCGAAAAGCTGTACAGGTCGTTATGGTGGTACCAACGGAGAAGCCCTGAAGATAAACCCCGGCATGCGGAAGCTGCCACTGCACCCACCCTTTGCTGCATTGACACCTGAGTTGATTGGACGCAATGCGTTCGAGCTCGTAGTAGGTAATGTTTTCTCCCCACCCGGGCCCCAGGATCACCGACACCCAATATCCCAAAAAAACACCCTTCTTGCCGAAGCTTTCGTAGCGACTCCACAGTGTACCCAGCACGTCCGTCGTGTGCTCATTCTTAGCTTGGATGTTGATGAAGGACTCTAGGGAGTTGTAGTCCTTCCCTCCCCTGCCTTGCAGGATCTTCCTCAAGGCATCCGCTTCTATGCACAGCAAGCCTGAGCTGAGGATCTCCTGCAGGAGCTCCGGCCTCATTGCGGAACGTCTTTTCAGGGCCTCTTCGGGCTTCGTGTAGATGAGCTCGAGCGCCTCTGGGCTTTTAAGTAACCAGGGAGAAAAAAGTATAAACTTCTATTTCATAATGGTTCCATTAAGAAAAAAGTATGAAAGTATGGTACTCCAAAGCCCAGGCCTCTGTGCGCAGGTCATCCATGTGGAAACGGTCGGCAGAATCAAAGATTTCGCAGGCTGTGACAGCTGTGAGGGCCTCCCTCACCAGCCGCATGCACATCGCATGCAGCACCTGCACCTGATACTTGTCTGCCAGTGCAGATATCTCCACAAGACATGTGGCAGAGCCCGCGACGCTACCACAGTACAAGAAACGAAGAAAAGTCTCCACAGCACTGGCCGAGAAGTCTTGGATGACGACCTCCGCCTTCTGCGCCTCAGCATAGCTTGTAGAGCCGATCATCTTCTCAAAGACGGGAGACCACTGGGCAAGCAGGAAAGACCATACCTTGAACTCCGTGCGCTTTGCCGCCGTCTGACCTTCACTTTCGTTGGAAACCTCATCCGCCGGCTCTTCAACGATGACCGTGAAGTCGCCGCCCTTGCCGAAACAGGCTTTCCACACGTCAGATGTCGCAGACAGGTCTTCGTCTGTGAATATCCCCGCTGGCTCCCTCTTCCGCTTGGATCCTGTCGACATCTGTAAGAAGGGCAACCTACAGGTCTACTGCAAAAGCCCTTTACTCGATCTTGAAAACGGGCTTCAATCATTTCAATGGCTTCTTTGGTGGTACCCGAGTTCATACTTAGGGACGCTTATGGATACTGGCGCTGTTTATTCAGACGCCTATATATGTACATACCTATGTAGAGATGAAGACGGAAGTTGTCTGACAAGCCAGGAGTTGCATCGCCTTTCACTAGTTGACTTGGACCGCGTCGGAGGGCTGCGCGTCACAAGCCGTCAATTTCTGTAACTCCTCAGAGAGCGTGTCAAGCGCTCGAAAAATCCGCTCCAAAAATCGAAGCCCCGAATGCTACTCGTGCTTACAGCCCCGAGACCCACGTGCCTAATACGGCGGAGATCCGGGGTTTCATCTCACATAGCCAAGGCTCCCTTCAACATCCGCATTCCTCTAAGTCCTAGATGTTGCGATGCCTCCGTAGTGGTTGCTGTCTACAGCCTTTAAACCTCTTGAATGACGGTTCAAAGGAATTCACAAATGAACTTACAAAACTATATTTTCCATCCCTCATGAAGCAGCAACAATCCACCCACTACCCTGTATCTCCAGGTCTGGCAGTCCCTCCATGCACCTGCAGACCAAGCCCCCGTCAGTCTGCCTTTTTCGTGAAATCTTAACATAAGAGCTTCGTAGCTGCTCTCCAATCCCCAAAGCTGAAGCTTTCGCTTGAATCCTACGACTGGTTCCATCCTTGTGGATAGAAATAGAAGTGCTTGCAGGACCTAGGGATATACTAAGTATGTGGCTTCGAAAGTTCACTCATTGGGGAAACTTTGCTTGTTACACTGCCCATAACGCTAAACTCTGGGCAATCAATTCCTAAGACGCGAACATAACTCCTCCCGCCTACACCTTTCCCTAAGGGCCCAAAGCACCCGATAATCAGGTACTTGGGTTTAGGATAGTAATTATGTAGGTTAATATTTCGGAAAGCTTCTGATAAATTACCTAGAGGCACCAAAGTAGTTCCTTTTTGGGATTACCTTATAGGATTCTATATATGAACCCCAAAAACGAACTACTTTGGAGCCTTAGGGTAGGTACTTGGACCTGGGATGCTCAGGGTTTGGACACAACAATTGTGGTCCCCAGGTATCCTTACGGCCGTTGTCTCTGCTATAAAAGTGCATGGGCCCTGTGAAATAGAAGTGCAATCCGCAAATGACAACGCTCACTTAGGAAAAACCGTGAAAGCCCTGAACCCTAAACCCCTAAACCCTAGAAGACCCTAAGACCCTAAACCCTTTGATGGTTAAAACGCCTGTCAATGCCGACAGCCGAGCCGCGGCATCCACAGGCGCGCATGGCTGCTCCGTAGCAGATCACATTCGGCGGCACGCCTGTCCAGGGGTCCCTTTCGAAGGGCTCCTTTAAAGTTGTACTACGAGAAATCTATTATAGGGTTCTATGAAATAAGGGCCTGAATAATTGGAAAAGGTTTCTAGGGCCCATTAAACAATAATCATAAGGAACCCCCAAGATAGCCTGTCTAGAGTTTGGGGTCCAGATATCGGTCTATATCTGCCCTAAGTCCCCCGACCAAACCCCTAGACGCTAAGCCCCCAACCCTCCCAATCAAACCTAAACCGGACCCAAACCCCGCCCCCAAAGTCCTTGCATCTCCTTAAACCAAAACCCCGATCCCTAAACCCTGCCTTAACCCTGAAAAACGTACCTTATTAGGGCTCCCTCTTATGATTTCTTTATAAAAGTCTGTAAAAAGGTAGGTTCTTCATGGTTAAGGCTAACCTTAAACCTGAAGGCAAACAAAATTTGTTTAAGCTGCATTTCAGGGGGGCCCTGTCGTTCAAAGGGAGAAGCTGCTTCCTCCATATGGGTAGTTGTCAAAATTATGGCCTAGACCCTTTTTTGAGGACTTCTATGGGAGTTTCCGAAAACTAGGGTACTTTATTTTGGGGTCCTTATAGTGAGGATCCTACTATTTAGGTAGTTGTCAAAATTATGGCCCCTTTTTGGGTGCCGCATTATAGAAGGGACCCACAAAGGGACCCTAGTTTTGACAACCTCCCATATGGGTCCAAGCATTCACCTGCACAGCATCGGGGATCTGCTTGCAAGAAGCTCTTGGGGACAAAATAATTGCTTAGAAGCTGCCCCCACCCTGTAATAGTGACTATAAGAATTAAATGGGGGCCCTATTATATTCCTGTTATACCACTATTACAGGGTGGGGGCCCCTTCTAAATTATTGCGTAGTTGTACTCAGGAACACCGACTAGGGACTAGTATTGTAGGCGCTTCCAGCATCCCCAAACCCTACAAAACAGTCGGTTATGACCCCTTAGTTAGAGGGTCTAACCCCTAAAACGGTATATAGGTTTTTGGATCCCCAGGTAGGGGATGTTATGCATGGGGACACGAACGGTTGATGATAACAACCCTGCATTACCCGTAATAAGGAATATACCGTAATTCCCACAATTTAGGGTCCTAATTAAGGTAATGCAGGATTTGTATCATCAACCAAAGGACTGGCAATACCAAGTATTCCCACCCCTTTATCCGCCGGGATCCTATACCTTCCAGCCAAAGAGGGTACTATACGCTGTTTTCCGTACGGTAGTTCATAGCGAGGGTTAAGGGTTTAGGGAAGTTTAGGTTTGGGGTTTAAGTTTAGGGTTTTGGGGTTTTGGGGTATAGGATATGGGAGTTTCCGAAATGAGGGATACCTTTTTTATGGGGTCTTTATAATAAGGGTCCTACTATTTAGGGTACTATCTTAGGGTTCCCCATTTTCGGAAACTCCCATATGTTGAGGGGTAGGTTGATGCCTGTGTTGTTGGCGGTCCCAGGGAGATGGCGGCTTCGGGCTGAGGGTTTGTTCCTCCTAAACCCTGAACCCTAACCTCTGAGCCCTACCTTAACCCTGAAGAACCTACCTTTTTAGGGTTCCTTATTATGATTTCCCTATATAAGTCCTTAAAAAGGTAGGTCCTTCAGGGTTAAGGCACACCTTAAACCCTATAGATCCACTATGGATCGCTTTAAAGGAACTCTTATAGATCCATAACTGACTCCGCTGCCCCGAAAGTGTGAAAGACAGTCCCTGTCAGCTCCACAGGCATGCATTGGCTTCGGGCATCGGAGGGATACTTCTTGGGAAGACCCTAATGCCCATGTGTAGCCACGCAGTGGGGTTTAGGGTTCTATAGGGGTTGAGGGGTTCAGGGTTTAGGGTTCCGGGGTTTAGGGTTCCTTTGATCTCGAATCACGCGCGAAGACGAGTTTAAGATGATTTTCTGAGTGCAGGTTTTTCCGATGAACAAGAACCAAAAGCCCTTAAAACTGGGCTGCCCTCAATTCAAGATGCTACATCGCCGACAGAACCCCTGTCTAAACCCTAAAACTTTCAGACCCCTAGACCCTAAACCGTAAGCCCTACGTCCTGCGGAAAACCCAGTGCGCAGGCCTTGTCTCCGCATATCGGCAATGAGCCACAGGGTGGCCTCCCACCTGCGACTCTTACGGTGCGCCCTGGGGATGCCTCAATGGCTTCCAGAAAGGTTCCGTCGCGGGATTCATAACGGTTTTTTGGGGGCGGAGGGTAAGGACCCTCTCCCCAAGGGTCTCACTTGCCCTAAGGCTCTAAGGACTCATATTATAAGGCTTTTGGGCCCAAAGACCATACCATATAAGGCTTTTTGGGCTATTTTGAGCCTTAGGGTTAGGGTTTGGGAAGACATCTACTGGCGTTCCTTCACCCTCTCTGCTGGAGCGGCTCAGCAGACCTTCATTTTAACAAAGGTCGTGCGGCATGGGAACCCTCCCAGTCTTATGGTCCTTCATACAGCAATAGGTAGTTAGGCTCTAATAGGGGTAGTTGGGGGCTTAATAATCGGTAGTTAGGCTCTGATGGTATAAGGGTAGTTGCGGGTAAAGGGGGGGGGGTTGGTAAACCCTAAACCCCTAAACAGTCCTATACGAGGTGTCATTGGGTCGCCTAGGTAGTGAGCGCCTTGGGACATGGTCTCTCGGGGTGGAAATAACGCTTCAGGACATGTCCCCAAACCCGTAACACCCAACATACTGGTAGACCTCTAGGATTCCATGTGTGTGTGAACATATGTATATACATATAAATATATACATGTATACATATTGCAAGTAAGTAAGTAAGTAAGAAAGTAAGTAAGTATGTATGTATGTATGTAATTATGTATGCACATGTATGTATGCATGCATGTATGTAGACGTGCAGGGATGCATGTATGCATGTGTACCGTATGCATGCAGCGGTGGGCTAAGGTGGCATTAGCAAGCAGGTTATAAGTACAGGCAGTACAGGCATCATCGAGCAAACTTCGGGTAGGGTGGCTACATCTTAATTCCAAATTGTTCTGGCTGTAATTCCTGCAGCGGTAAAGCCTGTAAAAAGCACAACAGTCCGACAGCATCGTTCCTAACCCTCGTGCGCCTCTCCCGCTGGGCGCAAGCAGCAATGGCTGCGCCGAAGGCAACAACATCGCAGCGCTCGCACGAGCCTCGTGGCGCTGCTGAAGCACGGAACCCTGCGGTGCAACTTGAGGCATGCAAGCGTTCTCCAAATGACTCAAGGGGTCTACAACGGAGGGCTATACTAAACTTCGACAGCGTAACCCCACACACACACACAAACAACCCTACTAACAGCAACGACAAGAAACTTAATAAACGGCACCCTCCGCCGCCCACCTCCCCCGACAAGAGGAAACCTCCCTTCCTCACAGCCCCAATCCCTGAACTCCAAAACACTATGCCCTAAACCCCAAACGGCTTAAAACCCCTACCTGTAGCCGAAAAGACCTACCTTTTTAAGGAACTATATATAGAAACCATAAACCCTAAACCCTAAACCCTAAAAAGGTAGGCCCTTTTGGCTACAGGTAGGCCCTAAGGAGCCCCCCAAGAGCCTAAACTGAACCCACAGCCCAAAGGCTCCGAGTATCATAATGGTACGTACTTAAAACCCCCCAAAATACCCTATAAGCATATACCATAATGATACTTGTATGTACTTAAACCCCCCCCAAAAAAAAACCTATAAGCATATCATACCATAATGATACTTGGACCGTTTGGGAGGCCGAGGGGTTGACGTTGAAGCTCCTCCAAAAGCTCCAAGGCGGCTGTCCAGGCCTCTCCTCCCATGCAAGGGTTTAGTTTAGGGTTTAGGGTTTAGGGTTTAGGGTTTAGGGTTTAGTTTAGGGTTTAGGGTTTAGGGTTTAGGGTTTAGGGTTTAGTTTAGGGTTTAGGGTTTAGGGTTTAGGGGCCTTAATAAATAGAATCGGGCTTGGGGGACCACTAGACCTAAATATCATAAGGAACCCTAAGAATTATATTGGAATTTATTTAGGACCCTAGAATTAGGGTTACTCCAATTCGGGTTCCTTGAAGGGTTCAGTAGGTGTAATATAGGGCACGAAGGGCCTAGGATGGTTTAGAGTCTACGGTCTTGGGTGTAGGCTTAGGGATGTATGGGCTCAAGGTCCAGGTAGGGCTCAAGGTTGAGGGAAGAGGATACAGGCTTTAAAATGCTCAGGAGTTGAGGGTAGGAGTAGGACGGTGAGTGTTGATGAAGAGCGCATTTGCTTGCGAGTTGTGGCATACATTCCTGTTGATGGACTTGCAGGACCCTAACCCTGAACCCTATATGGGAGTTTCCGAAAATAGGGGATCCTAATATAATACCCTAAGTAGTAGGATCCTTGTTACAGGGACCCCAAAATAAGGTACCCTCAATTTCGGAGACTCCCATATAAACACTAAACCCTAGACCAGTGTGCAAATACCTGCTGGAGTCCGAAGCAGGAGATGGCCCACCGGTGGCCGTTGTAAGTAGAGGCGCTATTCCCTAATACTATTAAAAAGTATATGAACCTTAGCCCCTTGAAGGGTATAATTGTCTTCGTCCTTAAAGACTAAAACGTTTTGAGCAATGTTCCACGGTTAAGCGACATCTGCATAGGAACAGGTTCCCAGCTTGCTTAGTTTTAGCCGGTGTTCCGTTCGCTATGTTCATGCATGAACCATGCCAGGACATCAGACTCAAGCAAGAAGACACTGGAGCTCTCAACTGGCAAACACATGCAGCAAGAGTGTCCGTGTCAAATCAGCGGGTCTAGACTGTGGACTCAAGCTGTCTAGCCATTGCAGAAATTCAGAGCATGACCGGCTGTTCTTGCCATCAAGGGATAATACTGATCGACTGAACGAGGTGTTGTCGACGGCTCACTGAGATCGTCACATTCTGTGGACATGACTGCCACAACAAGCACAAGACGCTTCTCGTCTGCAGGAAGATCCGCAGATCCACCACAGAACCTGTGAACCTGTAGGTGGGAATCCTTTCGGACATCAATGTTTGTCGGTACATCCCTAAACCCTAAACCCTAAAACCCTAAACCCTAAACCCTAAAACCCTAAACCCTAAACCCTAAAACCCTAAACCCTAAACCCTAAAACCCTAAAACCCTAAACCCTAAAACCCTAAACCCTAAACCCTAAAACCCTAAAACCCAAAACCCTAAACCCCGGATCAACCCGAAGTTTCGAGACAATTCGTGGGGCCGATCCACTGTGACAGGTGTGAGTGGACTTCGGTGTTTGTGGCCGTCACTTAGGACATACGGTTGATGATATAAATCCTGCATTACCTTGAGGACCCTAGACTATGGGAATTATGGTATATTCCTTATTATGGCTCATGCAGGATTTATATCATCAACCGTAGTTCTGGTGGGGTAGGTGAACGATTAAGACAAGGAGACATACAGTACACCATCATAAAACCTAAACCATGAACCGAAAAAGCCAAAACTGGAGATCCGAGATCGGAGTAACTACTGAACTAATGCGTGCACACACACACACACACACACGATGTCTCACCGGACCCTAAACCCCTAAATTCTAAACCCTAAATCCTAAACACACGATGTCTCACCGGAACCATCCCAAGTCTCAGAATCACTTCCCTGAAAGCAAAAAGGGGTAATGTCCGAATACACACGACCAAAACCGAAAAAGTCTGACAGTAAACCCGTAAACCCTAAAGCCCTACCTGGACCTTATATAAGTCCTTAAAAAGGTAGGCCGTTTGGGGTTAAGGTAAACCCTAAACCACTAAAACCCCCTAAACCTCTTCCTAGGAAAGCTCCTGGGATCATCCTTGAACCTTTGATCCGGCAGTACCCGCTCACTCGGATAACGTAGCCATGATCGCTGAATCCAAACCTAAAAGACCCTCCCAAAGGGTCCTAGGTACTGTTACGGGGGATACTTCCCCAAATCATACTTGCAATTCCTAACATAGAAACCCTACATTCTGCGATCAAGCTACTTTGGACCCTTTGGGCCTAAACCCCAGCAGCACTGAACCCAAACGACCTCAATCCCAACAAGAGCTATATCCTAAACCCCAAATACCACAAAAGGGATTCAGCGCCGCAAAACTCTAAACCCCCGAAACCCTTGAATCCCAGACCTAAGAAGCCTAAAGGCCACAAGAGGGTTAACAACACCAAAAGCCGTACACCCAAATTACGAAAATATAACACACCCAAGGATAACCCAAGGATAGAACAACACCAAAACTCCATCCCCAAAATCCTCTCTCGCAGGCGGTGATGGCTGCGGAATATGTCAGCTTGTTGGGCCTGTGTTCTCACCAGGAAATGGTTTAGGTTTAGGGGTCAGGCTGACTTCATAAGGCCAAAAATAGTGGATACTATTCTCCAATAAAGCGTGAGGCATACCCAGTAATAACTTGCTAAACCGAATTCGAAGGCTCTGAGGGTCCAGCAGACCTAAATCTTAAGCACTTGGCTTTAGGATATGTGTACATTTTGGGTGAATATATATATATATATATATATATATTCATGCACGGAAAGTACTTGGGATCCCAATTTTTTCGTCTCAATTCATTCGACAGGTCAAGCATCGACTCAAAAGAGTGATATAACAACACTGTGCACGGCAGTTTGCATGACTTGAACATCGGACCATGAGCATGGGCAGTGACGCATTCGTGAAAGGACTTCCGCATAACAAAGGTTTCGATAGAGCTCTCTTTACATCAACAAAACCTACAGAACTGCAAATAAAACCTCCTGAAACACCATATTCGCGACATTCATGATCAACCCAACATCAGAAACATGGTATGAACGGACCCAGCTAGCTAGAACCAACAAGAAGTCGCCACAGATTACAAGAGATTCCGGATAGACTGTTTTCCACGTGCGACTCATTAACTTACGTCTGCTGATCCATCAGGTGTGATGAACTGTCATACTAGCCTGTAACACGGTTTCACGGTTTCTGTGCATTTTCTTGTGTTAGGAGCCTGCGCTAAGCTTCCGCACACTATATGATTTTCTGCCAACAACACAAAGCCTTCATGTTTCCCTTGACGGAACGTGTAATTGAAAAGCCATACAGGAAGCCCCTACAGTCGTCGAACAGATGCTTCGGGCACACCTCGCCCTGTCCACCGTCGAACAGATTGCAAAAACCCCGCAATGGCCGGGGTTCGAGTGGAAAGCGGCTCCCCACAGTAATTGTTCCTCGTCCGCGTGCGCACTGACGTACTTAGCAGAGTTAGCACAAGAAGGACGCATATGATACATGTGAGCATAAATAAATGCAAATATCAACAGGAGTACACATGTATGTACAAGTGCAAGTACGAGTTTGATTTTGGATGTAAACACTACAGATATACACATACAGAGACAGATGGTATATACTCACACACACACATGTATGTATGTATGTATGTATGTATGTATGTATGTATGTATGTATGTATGTATGTGTATATATATGCACGCATCCACCACGGTTCTTATTTGGGGATAATTGTTGTGTTGGGTGCCTGCCCTCGACGGATACCCTGGCCCCAAGCCCTTTACCGACAAGTTTCAGTCACCTGGGCCCGTCGGGTTTCGGGCTCAGGGTTTTAGAATACCTTCCCAAAGGGTCTAAATTACTGTCGTGGGAGATACTTCCCCAAACCATACTAGCAATTCCTAATATAGAGACCCTACATTCTATATAGCTACTTTGAACCCGTTGGGTAACTCATGCACCTCACACGACCCTAAAGAAGCTGCATTCCCTGGTTTTTTAAAGGTCATGATAAAGGGCATGACCCTAAAGAAACTAGATTTTCCTTTGTTTGCGGCACCTTGGTTATCATAGGAAAGGCTTCCTGACCACTGATGTTAGTGATGTAAGCCAGCTTCCTGCAGTGCCCAATGTGGTTTCTTCGGGTTTCTTTACCTACATTTCTAGTAGACGCTGAACACCCGTATGAAGTCATTGAGCAACCTTACCCAAAGGGTCCAAAGTAGCTTTATAGTAGAATGTAGGGTTTCTATATTAGGAACTGCTATTGCGATTTGGGGAAGTATCCCCCATAGCAGTACCTAGGACCCTTTGGGTTATAGCATTCTTGAAGGAAGGCTTACAGGAGCCTCGTGAGGATTCCAGCTACACCCCCTTCGCCTCCGAAAACCCTGCAGCGCGGAGCCGTTTACGAGTGAGCCCTAAACAGCGCACCCAAAACTTATGTACTTACCCCAATACTAACATTCGGGGGTTTAGAGATTTATTTGGGTTTCGGGATTCTCAAGGTTCTAGGATATGTGTTCTTGGTACTCATGCAGATTCAGTACACCATTACCATACCATCATGATGAGGCTTAGCTTTCGGACTCTCCGGCGCGGGGTTCACTATACTGAACGTAGAACCCTAGCAAAAACTATGATTTTAGCTGTTTCTTAGGAATCATAAAAAAACATTTCTAAGTGCCCCTAAGTTCAAGGTGATAATGTCGCGGGGCGCTGGGTTGAAGGCTTAGCGGTTGATAAACGCGTCAGATTACAGCTGCAAGAATGTGTTGGGGAAATTTTCCCCCATAACAGTACTTTGGCCCCCTTGGGGGAGCCTAAACCTGACACCTTCAACCCCAAACCGCTATACCTTCTGTTGCCTTCTGCAACAGCTCCTGAAGAGGCAAGCATACTTGGAGGGTCGGGGGACTTAGTAACTGGGTAGTAAAGTAGACTTATAAGCACCCTAAAAGGGATCCTAATTGGGGTTATGGTACTTTAGTAAGTCCCCCGACCCTCCAAGTAGATACGCCCCGAAGGCATGACTCAAGAACAAGAACCAACTAGAAGACAAGGCCTTCTTTAAAGGGAACTCCAGAAAGTTGGAATATGGTTTCAGGGTAGGATACCCTATAATCCTATAATTTACCATAAAGGGTTTAGGATAATCATATTCCAACTTTCTGGCTTTTACTTTAGGGCTTCGTGTCGCGACGGGCTTCCGACATCTGAGTTTGGAGTCGACCACATTCACATGGAAAGAGCCTTCCCTCTCGCTTACTACCTATGGTAGAAGCCCAAAAATTGGAAACCCAATAGCCCCAATCCTTAAGATTAATGTATAGGGAATCCAAGCACTATTTGGCCTTAATTCGGTTTCCAACTTTATGGAGTTTACTGTAATATCTCTTGCTGATGCACAGAATCCTGCATCAGTCATAACAACCACACAGGCCGAGGCAACGCTGGATCATCCGCATCGCAAACTACTACATTATAAAACACAAAGCTACTGCATGAGGGCGCTAATTCTCGAAAAGCATCCCTGAGGATAATCATTGATGTAATCTCTGCATTTACAAGGCTGGAAACAGCGTTCCGATGTTGTGTCCGTACATCTGAACCTTATACAGCCTAAACCCTGAGAACCCTAAACCTAGCCTGAACCCGGAAAGCCCTAAATGCGAACCATAAGGATGAGAAGGGTTTGCCTGCCTTGGCCTCCAATTCCGTAACCGCAGCTCGTAGTACTTCAATGACCCTTTCTACAATGACCCGGAATAGCCTACCTTTTTGAGGGCTTATCTAAGGAAATCATAATAAGGAATCATAAACAAGTAGTTCATAGGGTTTTGGCACTTGATAGCCCAAGGGGTCCTAGGTACTGTCATGGAGGATGCTTCCCCAAATCAAAGGATTGCCAAGTAAAGAAACCCTGCTTTCTACTATATAGGTGCTTTGGACGGGGCGCCTTATTGCAACAAGGATCCTACTGTTGAAACCTAACTAATGCTACTCAAAGGGTCCAAAGTACCTATATAGATACATGTAGAGTTTCTATATCTAGGAATAATCATTATGATTTTGGGCCTTGTCGCCGTAAACCCAAGACCGTAAACCCAAGACACCTGCAACCCTAAGCCCCTACACCCGCAAGACCTAAACCACTAAAGTCTCTGAACCCTGAACCCCCAAGCCCTAATGACCCCGAATTAAGGGATACCGCTGAAGTTACATAGAGCTTCTTCGTGTGATTCGAAATATTATATTCCTTAGTAGCCCCATAAAACCCTGCAGACACCCCGTAGACGCCGTAGACGCCACATTCTGCCCTCCGGACCCTAAACCCTAAACTAAGCCCTAAACCCTAAGCCCCCAACCCCTAAACCCTCCGAACACTTAACCCTAAACCGGGTTTCTGCCTCAGATATTCGTTCTGGAGCCTGCTGAGGAATTCCAGGCCTGTCGACTGCGAAGGGGTTTGGGGTTCCCAAAGGGTGCAAGTATCATTCTGGTATATACTTATAGGGCATTTTGGGGGTCTAAGTATGTACCATGATGATACTTGGACCCTTTGGGCTTGAGGGCTTAAGGTTCAGCAGCTCCGAATAGCTGGGCAATGAAGCCTCCACAGAATCCGCCAACAGGCGAAATTACGCGACTTAGGACCAAAACCCTGCGGCCAGCTTAGGCCGAAACCTTATGGCCGAAACAAAGCGACTCAAACCCCCAAGCCTTTGAGTAGTTGTCAAAATTATGGTCCCCTTTTGGGTACCCTAAATATAAGGTCTCTATAAGGACCCCAAAAAGGGGACCCTAATTTTGACAACCACCCATACGGTTGATGATATAAATCCTGCATTACCCCTAATAAGGAATATACCATAATTCCCATAGATTAGGGTCCTTAAGGTAATGCAGGATTTGTATCATCAACAGTATCATGCCAAAACTCTAAGGCCGGAAACCCTAAGGTCGAAATTTGTAACGGCCGAAACAGTAAGGACCTGCTCCTAAACCCATGGTTTAGGGTTTATAGGGCCTAAGGTTTAGGCTTTAAGATTTAGGGTTTAGGGTTTATAGGGCTTAAGGTTTAGGCTTTAAGATTTAGGGTTTAGGAAACACCATGGTATAGGGTTTAGGGTTTATAGGGTTTCGGGTTGAGGCCACAACCATGAGCTGGCCGGGAAAATCCCCAGCCCGCAAGGCCACGACAGACCCAAGGCCACGAAAGAACCCAGAAGAAAGATGAACCAAGTCCAGGAAATATGACCCAAGGCCAAGAAATACTGATGATGGACAAAATCCTGTATTACTCTTTATAAGGAATATACATAATTCCCATAGCTTAGGGTCCTTAAGGTCATACAGGATTTTGTCCACCCACAGGATGAACCAAGGCCAAGAAATATAACCCAAGGCCAGGAAATATGACCTAAGGCCACGAAGACTATAAAGCTTAAATTGCGACAGGTGGGGAGGTTTAGGAGGGTTTGGGGTTTAGGGTTTAGGATCGCCTACCAGAAGTGCAAGAGTAACCAACAGCAGGAACTGCACTAGGCACTGTGTGTCGTTCCCCAAAAACTCTAAAGGGGCATGCTTGTTGCAGCAAACTGAAACGGAGCGAAGCAGCCCGTAAACTGTAGGGTGTTCGCGAAGGTATGTGACCCCTACCTGTATGGCTGATCATCAGAGCCGATGGGGCGGACAGTATGACTAGGTAGAAGACTCAAATCTTGTATGGTGAGCACCCCGACATAAACCCTGAGTAGAGGGATTTAGGGGTTTAGGGGCTTCGGGTTTGGGGGTTGTGTGTACCTGTAACTGTAAGGTTACAAACCTACCTACATACATGCATACATACATACATGTTTTGCTACGAAAGGAGCAGAACACAACCAACCTCAACATGAAAACGATGCCACAAAGAATCAACATCAATAGGCCTCTACACTGTGCGTGCCGTACTGGTACCCCCTTAATGAGCGCACTTGTACTCCTACTTAGAACCCAGTCTTGTGATTCCGTAGGCAAGGGGTCCTCTGTTCAGAACCGAATCCGTGCCCTACAAACCCCTGTACCCCTCAGCCTACTCCGCCAAGCCCTGCACCCTCATTACGAAAACCCTTCGAGTTTATGGTTTGTAGTCAGCCTTGAACCTTCAAGCAGAAACCGTACAACTTCAACCCAAGCCCCTACACCCATACGCCACCAAGCCATGTGCCCTCATTGCGAAAACACGGTGAATCGCAATTAGACCGTCAAAGCAGAAACCCCATAACCTGAACCCAGGCCCCTTCAACCTGAACTCTCAACAACTCAACCCACTTTATCCTGAGCCCTAAATCCCAAACCTTCCACCTGATAGGAACTGAACCGCAAGCCTAAACCTCCCTATGCTCCTACGACACTTACAGACCCAAACATAGAACCCCCCCCAGAACCCCGCACCCAACACAAAAAAACTGACCCTAGGGCTCCAGTTGCCTAAATAATTAGTAGGTTACTTACCTTCTACTTGGAGGGTCGGGGGACTTAGTAACTGGGTAGTAAGTAGACTTATAAGTACCCTAAAAAGGACCCTAATTGGGGTGATGGTACTTATAAGTCCCTAAACTAACCAGTTAATAAGTCCCCCGACCCTCCAAGTACTATATACCCCCGAAACCTCCGATTTCGGTAACTGGAGCCCTCGGGTGAGGTTGATTAAACCCCAAACCCTAAACTTAAACCCACTTGGACCCTAAGAAACCCACCTTTTTAAAGTTCCTTAATGCGATTTCCTTATATAAGTCCTTAACATGCTCCCTAAACCCTAAACCCTAAACCCTAAACCCTACGGTGTTAAGGCAAACCCTGAAGCCTTGCTGCCAATGCTGCGCATCCATGGCCGAGATCAATGCATTGTAAGTAATCAAGGACGCCTTCAAAGAACGCAAGAAGGGAGAGTCGGAAGGTAGCATCTAGAGCTAGGGATGTAGGGTTCATTTCCTAATTCTTTTCCGAATATAAGGAAATCAAGAAATAACCCTAAGGGTCCAAAGGACCCAATAATTAGGTACTTAGGTTTCGGATAGTAGTTATGCAGGTTACCATTTTGGAGAGTACATGATAATTAGGTACTTGGACCCTTAGGGTAAGGCCTTCGGATATTGCTTTCAGGGTGTTGCGAAGGGTAGGCCGCTGCCCGGCCAAACCGATAGGTCTGGGCAGGTCTCGAGGTTTTAGCGTTTGGCTTTAGGCTTAAAGGTTAGTTAGGGTTTAGGGTTTAGGGTTTAGGGGTTTACGGTTTAGGGGTTTAGGGGTATAGGGCTTTAGGGGTTTAGGGGTTTCGGGTCTGGAGGCTTTGTGTTTAGCTTTCGATGGGATTCCTAGTCAACTCTCCACAACCTTCCGCCCTTACCCCTCCATGCAAGGCGGTTCCGGGTGTATTGCCATGTTGGGCATTTCGGGCATTAATGGCATCGCGACGGCAGTGTACTCCTCGTTGAAACCGGATATAACAAAAGTGCTTACACCAGAATCAGAACACCCCGGATCGGCTTTGGACACTCTGTCGCGAGCATGACGCAGGTATCAACAGCTTTGGTCCTGCGGCTTCATTAAAACCCTGACCCTGAAGCCCCCGCACCCCTAAATGCTACACCTTGATTGTTGGACAAACCCCGATATAGAGCCCTTTGTATAGGCTGTACATGAGCCCCAACCACTGCAACGATCATGTCAAACGGCGATGTGATGCTAACCCCCAAAGTTGGCACTCGCCCTGCAAAACCCTCACCACAAACTGAGACAGAAAAGTACTTCACCCCTATAATAAACCCGTCTGAAAACCCTATCAAAACCAGAGTATGCACTGACAAAAGACCCAAGTTTGAACCCGGTCACTGGTTCAAAGTGAGGTTCCTTTTGACGTTGGAGGGGCCTCAAGCAAATGATCTAGGGATTTGGAAACTGCTGTAGTGTAGTAGAGCTACAACAAAACAAACTCAATCAAACGACAAAAGGAGCCCTTGCAGAGCCAGGGTTTAGGGTTCAGGGGCTTAGGGTTTAAGGTTTAGGGTTAGGGTTACCTTTTGAGCATTTGAGCTTGCAAATTCGCTTACTCCAATAGTCGCCCATTGCTAGCTTTTTGGTTAGGAGTCCTCCACCCTAAGCCCTCCACACTAAACCCTACCTTAACCCTGAAGAACCTACCTTTTTAGGGTTCCCTATTATCATTTCCTTATATACATCCTTAAAAAGGTAGGTTCTTCAGGGATAAGGTAAATCCTATAAGGAGTCCTCCACACTAAGCCCTATGGGGCTGGAGCCCCCCCCCAATAGGGCGGAGCATAAGGGCGTAGAATATAGGGCAAAGTTACTAGAAGGTATTTGGGTTTATATAACCTACCCTTTCACGACATATGGACAAAGGTAAGAAGACTCTGGAAAGGCAAAAACTCCAAAACTTGACCCCAAACAGCCCACCTTTTGTAGGACGTATGTGAAGAAACTGTAGGAAGGAACACTGAAACGGACAAACTCCAGAACCGAAAAGCACTGAAACGGCGCAGTTTTCTGTCGGCTCTTCAGCACTATCTTGGGTCTTCTGCAGGAACACCGTGCATCTTGATCCTCAGATAGCTCGCCGGCTACGGGCTCCGGGTTTGGAAGGACCCTAAGGGTCCAAGTAGGGACCGTCTGAAGGATGGCTAATGCCCGAACGAAAACAACACATGCATTAAGCCCAAACCCCAAAAACATAGAAAAGAATCCCTAAACCCAAAGCCCCTAAATCCTAAAACCCCAAACCTTGAAAACCCTAAGCCTCTATAGAGCCCTCAACCCTAATACCCCAGTTCCCGAATCCCTAAAGCTCATAAACCATGATGTCGTTTCGGATTATTGTCATGGCGAGGTGTGACATTGCCTGGACCTTGAAGTAACCAGGGAGAAAGTTCTGACTTTTATTTCATAAGGGTTCCTTTGAGGAACAGGTACCAAAGAAAGTAGTGTTCAAGTATGGTACTCCAAACCCAGGTTGCTGGTTCAGGAACTAGACGACTAGATCGCAAAGTTCTGGGGACTAGGTCCGGACTTCAGACCAGCCAGAATGCCATAAAGCCAAGCCCGCCATTGAAATTCATGATACAATGTCCAATTATACGAACATGAATACAGCAGCGTTGTCAGTGGAGGCTGTTGAAGTCTAGGGCCTGTGATGATGTTTAATACGACTTAATGAACGGGATATCGGGTTGGTCCAGGCACGGAAACACCAAGTTCCTCCGCTGTCCTGGATCATGAACCCCCGAACACGACAAGTTCCTCTTGCGAACCAACACGGGGTGCGCAACTTTCCACCTAGGAATTTTGATATCAGCAACATGCTGAAATTCAGCCTGCTGGGCCAGAAGCCTTGCATAGTTCCTCTTGAAGCCCAGCTAGACAATCCCTGAGGGTCCATGTCCTCATACAGTATATACACTGGCCGTAAAGTTCTTCCTATATAGGTACCAAAATCCCACCCCCTCCGCCCCTCCAACCCTGAACCCTGCACCCCGAAACCCTCCCGGCCACGCATAAGCAACCAAAAGGCATGGCCAAGACAGACGCTTGCACGGCCACGGAACACGAACGCAAAGTGCCTTGCTTTCGAGGTTCGACACCCTAAATCCTAAACTCTTACGCGTGGAACATAACTAGCAGCTAGAATAGGTGCTGTGGGCTTAAACTCGTATACTAATAAGCTTTTTCAGGCTGCTGAATTTCAAAACCCTGATAACTGGAATTTCAGAAACTGACATGTGATATCCTTCAACATGATTCGTCTGAAGATCCTCCCCGACCTTAGCGTCCTAAAGCCGGCATCCTATACCGCAAACAGCGCAGCCCTGAACTCGAAAGCTCAACCCTGAGAGGAAGCTCAGAAAAATTATGGTACCTTTTTGGGTCCTTATTTTAATACGGCACCTAATTAGGTACCCAAAAAGGTGCCATAATTTTGACAGCTACCTAAATGAAGCGGTATATGATATATGGCGTCCCCAAGCGGGTCGGAAGGATGTTATGATGAGGTCCATAATTGGGTATGTGGCTTCAGGAGGATGAATGGTTTGTAGCTTAGGCTTAGATACGACTGTGAGGCACTTCTTAGACCCCCAACTACCCGCATATCTATAGTAAAAACCCACAATTAAAAGGACCGTAAGGGCTCCATTAAAGGGCCATTGGTTGGACCCTTAGGGTCTTGATGAGTAGAGTAGGGGGCCTTAATACCTATAACAAGGACCTAATAAGGCCTATTTAAGGAAGTATATTCCCCTACCCCCCTCCCCCCCTACCCCCGTAAGGGTCCCTATGAGAGTAGTACTGTTGATGGACAAAATCCTGCATTACCCATTATAAGGAATATACCATAGTTCCCATAGTTTAGAGTCTTTAGGGTCATGCAGGATTTTGTCCATCAGCAGTATCCCCTTGCCAAGGAACTAAAAGGATGCCCCGACCCCAACTCCTAAGGAGTCGTAGAACCCCAAGATTTCCCAAGGACCCAAGAATTAGGGTCCCTTTAAAGGGCTCTTTATGGGTTTAGAGGATTCTATAGTACGGGTTTAAGGGTCCCAAGGACTCGATAATAGGGTACTTAAGTTTAGGATAGTAGTTATGTAGGTTCATTGTTGGGGGAGTATATGATTATTAGGTACTTGGAACCTTGGGGATAACATACCTAAACACGTGATGTAGATAAACCCTACTTCAGCCCTACTTCAATAGTATGAAGCCCGGATAAGACCGTTTAGCTTCCAACATGTCATACCTAAACCCTCATCACCTAGCTAAACCCACGACAACCTACCTTTTTGCAGCGTCCCTGTAATTTCTATATTAAGGTTTATGATGAGAACCCAGACAAAAACAGGTTTTGGTAGCTTCACGTGCTGACGAAGGCACTGGAGCCCAGCACTGCTCTGTAGCTGACCACGTTGGGCTCCAACCGAGCCTTCTGGATAGGGTTTAGTCTTTTAGGTTTAGGGTCAAGGGTTAAGGGTCAAGGGTTAAGGGTTAAGGCTTTTGGGCTAGGGTTAAAGGCGTATGGTTTGGGGGTTAAGAGTGTCCAAGTAATAGAATACCTTGACCTACCAAACCTTACTTATTTTGTAGGTTCTATTTATCAACCCGCTTTGGACACCCAGGAAAACCGCAGAAGGTTTACGGTTTTGGGCTCAAACCCGCAGCCGAAAACTCTGAAAGCCTTACAGAACTGTGAAGAGCACCCATACAACGCCCGCAACGGAAGTGTCAAGGGAACAGGCTGTCAGGGCAACCCTCAACAAAAAGACTCTGTAAAGGAATCCCCTGACAGCCTACATTACAAACCCTGCAAATCCTACAAGCCATATAAATCCTTGAAGGCCACGCAACTCCTTGTCAAAATCCGTCGGAAAGGTATAAAACACTGATTAAGAAACCAATCAATCCCCTGTCAATCCCCTCTTAAACAGCCATGACAACCCTCCAAACACCCCGTCAACACCCCATCGAAGTCCCATAACAACCCTCACACATTAGAACCCGTTAAAGGAACCGCTGGCATCCTAAACCCTAAACCCCTAAACCGATAAACTCTGAACCCTAAACCCCCAAACCCATAAACTCCTAAAGCCCTACGCCCCTAACCCTGAACTCTAAATCGCCTACCCTACTTCGGTTGATGATATACATCGTGGATTACCTTAAGGACCCTAAACTACGGGAATTATGGTATATTCCTTATTATGGGTAATGCAGGATTTATATCCCTAAACCTTAAACCCTATAGATCCCTTGAAGGAGCCCATTAAAGGTACCCATACAGATCCCTTTAAAGGAGCCGCAGGATTTATATCGTCAACCGTAGGACCCGTTCGAATCTCTAGCACCCTTAGTAACCCTTATGGACCCCTTTAAGGGAACCCTACTCTAATTTTTAAGGCCCCTACATTATAATAGTACCCTTATAGATCCCTTGTAGTAACCCTTATAGACTTAGACCCCGTTAAAGGAACCCGTTCGAATCTCGAGGAGCTCTTTGGATATAGACCCTCCCAATAAGCTCCCTTTTAAGAGAGCCAGAAAATAGGGTTCAGAAGGGGTACCCTTCAAGGGGTCTCCCTAATAATACTACCAACCGTAGGACCCCTTCGAATCTCCCCTAAACCCTAAAACCCTAAAACCCTAAGCCCTAAACCCTAAAACCCTAAACCCTTAAACCATTAAAACCCTTAAAACCCTAAAATCCTTAAACCCTTAAAACCCTGAAACCCTAAAACCCTTAAAACCCTAAAGCCCCAAAACCCTAAACCCTAAACCCTAAAACCCTAAAACCCTAAAGCCCCAAAACCCTAAACCCTAAAACCCTAAAACCCTTAAAACCCTAAACGCCCCTTCGAATCTCGAGGAGCTCTTGGGATAGTAACCCTTGTGGACAGCTTTAAGGGAACCCTACTGTAATTGTCAAAAGCCCTACATTAATGGACCCTTATTATTATAGACCCCGTTAAAGGAACCCGGTGAAAGTTCGAGGAGCTCTGGTGATGCATGTGAAGAGCTCCAGAGCCGCAGCCCAGTGCGAGCATTTCCTTCGAGGCAAGAAGGGCCTTAATCTACGGCTTTTAGGGGTTTAAGGCATAGGGCTTAGGGTTTAGGGGTATAGGGTTTAGGGGTATAGGGTTTAGGGTATAGGGTTGAGGGTATTAGGGTTTAGGGTTTTAGGGTTTAGGGTTTAACTAGAACAGACTAGACTAGAATAGGGCTGTGCGAAGGTTCCTTCCAGTTTCCAGTTTCCTAGAGGAACCAAATAAGGTTACCTGTAGTCCCCACTGCAGTTCCTTTTGGGGGTTACCTCCTAGGATCCTGCATATAGAACCGGTTAAGCCAAAAAGGCACTACAATGGAGACCATAGGTAATCTTGATGCGGTATATGAGGGTTACAGTACACCACGAGAAATTGCAGGTGACTAATTCGACAACCGGGACCGGGCTTTTAGGAGCACAAACATCATGCGACCCTTTAGACACCGAGAGTCCATGTATCTAGCAGATACTTTGGTTTTATAAAGTGGTCTAAGTAGCCTTTTGCGGGTACTAAGGATCCAAAAAGCACATAATCCCAGAGGGTACAAACTGCCAATATAGTTAGGAATTACGACTATGATTTGGGGAAGTCTGCCCAATAACAGCACCTCGGACCCTTTGCAAATGCGGATACATGGACCCAATTACGGACGGAGGCTCTGGGAGTCCCACCATTAACGAAGACAAAGCCTCAAAACGTTCCAACCCAAACGTCAAATCCAGATCGCACCATTCCTCGTAATATAGTAAGATCTCCGATATAGTTCAAGGTATATTCCTTAATTATGGGGTGTATGGGAAGAACTGGGAAACCTAATCCTAAGTTCTCAGCGCCAACACTGCCAAGCACCAAAACCAGAAAAACCCTCCACTTCAAAGCCCCAAACCCACCCTAACCTCAACCCCCCCCCGCCCCCCCCCCCCCGCCGCCCTTAAAGGGAAATTCGAAGGGTGCAGAACCTTTGCATATTGGACCCTCAAAACTGGGATTTCGGAAAGATTCGAAGGGTGCAGAACCTTTGCATATTGGACCCTCAAAACTGGGATTTCGGAGATTTCACAGGGCCCTGCCGAAAAGGTTCCGGACCCAAACCAGTTCATGGTTGGGATGCTGTGGATGGACAGTATCCTGCATGACCCAATATAAGGAATATACCGGACCTTTAATGGGTTCCTTCAAGGGATCTATAGGGTTTAAGGTTTACGGATATAAATCCTGCATGACCCAATATAAGGAATATACCGTATTTCCCATAGTTTAGAGTCCTTAAGGTCATGCATGCAGGACTTTGTCCATCAACAGTAGTTTGGAATTTGTTGATGTTTCTTCCTTATTGAGTTTAAGTTACCCATAAGATGCAAAATGCTAGCCACCTCTGACGAAGAAAAGAGCTCCATCGGGGTAAAAAGCCCTCAAACATCCTGTGAAAAGCCTGCATACGGTTTACAGTAGAAGCCAGAAAGTTGGAATATGGTTTCATGGTAGGATACCCTATAATTTACCATAGAAGGGTTAGGATAATCATATTCCAACTTCTGGCTTTTACCTTAGGGTGTGGGGTTTACTTCATAAGCCCTTCACAAACACCCGTTCCAACAAAGAGCAGCGCTGAAAGCCCTATTACAGAAAGCTCCACGAGCTCTTCGAAGGCCTACATCAGCTTTATACTTAGTCGCTGGGTTCCTAAGCCCCCAAGATTGTAAACTTTCATGACTATATATATATGTAGGGCAATACTATCCCATAAAGTGCAATGTGCACCCACCCAGCTGCTAAGGTAGACAAGCTTCATAAAACCTGTGAGGCAGCCCCATGACACCGTTGCGAAAACCTTCCCGAAAATCATGGAAGACTCTAGTAACAAACCTGAGTAGCCTGAACCCGTATAGAACGCATCAGCAGCATACAAAGCCCTTACATGACCCATATACGAGCATTCTATATACCACTGACGATAGAACGCTATAAAACCCGTTCAGCCCACCGTATAAAATCCTTGCAGAACACTGTTGAAATACCGAAAGCACCGTTACAAACCGCTCAACCAGTACGAAAACATTCATCGCAAACATCTGATGCACATGCCTCCAGCCCTAAGCCCTAAACCCTGGAACCCCAACACCCTAACCCCTACCTGGACCCTAAGGAACCTACCTTTTTAGGGCCCCCCTAATATGATTTCTTTATATAAGTCCCTAAAACGGTAGGTTCTTTGGGGTTAAGGTAAACCCTAACGAAACAAAAACCAGGACAGAGCTGCTCACAGGCGCTGATGGTTGCGTTGTAGCTGATAACGTCCGGGGGGATCCTGCATCTAAGTATTGAAGGGTGCCTTCACGGGCTTCCTTTGTACAGACTGCTTATAGGGCTTTCTTTTTGTTTACCTAGGGTTTGGGATCACTTATCGGAGATTAATGCTTTTCGGATTTTGATTTTGCGGTTCTTTAATTATGTTCGTGGACTTTGCAATGCTATACCTGGGATGTAGTTTAGCGCTGAAGGAACTCAATACTGGACCGAATGTAGGGCTTTTCGAGGCTTCCTTCAAAATGTCCTGGAAATGTTTAGAGTCCCATCATGTCCCATCTTCATAGCTCTTAGGACTTTGTTGTAAGTGTCTTGGGTTGGGCTTTTGGGGTTTAGGGTCGGGATGTTGCAGCTTTTGTTTGTCTACTGAACTTAACGTACCGCTAGAATTCCAGAATAAGCGCCGCGAATGCTTCCCTTGGATCCGGCCCTAAGCCCTAATGTACCCCAAACCCCAAGTGTAGTAGACCCTAAACCCCAAGCCCTAACAAACCTCAAAACCTGCAAAGACTCTACCCTGAGAAGAACCCTAACGGTACCAAAGGAAGTCCCCCTAGACTCCAATATCCCTTAATCAAGGAATATTCCTTAAATTATAGTAGGATCCTTAATATGATTTAAGGAATATTCCTTAACTAAGGAAAATGGAGTCTCTGGGTCCCTTTATGGTAGAATCTAGGGTTCCTACATTAGGAATGACTATTATGATTTGGGGAAGTATCCCCCATAACAGTACTTTGGACCCTTTGGGGGTTAAGTGTTCCCAATGTGGCTTTAGGATGCCTTGAAGGGCTTCTCTCAAAGGAACCCTTAAAGGAAGGAACCCAAAAACCGTAAGCCCTAATAGGAACCCTTGAAGGAAGGAACCCAAAAACCGTAAGCCCTAATAGGAACCCTTAAAGGCAGCAACCCAAAAACCGTAAGCCCTAATAGGAACCCTTAAAGGAAGGAACCCAAAAACCGTAAGCCCTAATAGGAACCCTTAAAGGAAGGAACCCAAAAACCGTAAGCCCTAATAGGAACCCATAAGCCCTAATAGGAAGGAACCCAAAAACCGTAAGCCCTAATAGGAACCCTTAAAGGAAGGAACCCAAAAACCGTAAGCCCTAATAGGAACCCTTAAAGGAAGGAACCCAAAAACCGTAAGCCCTAATAGGAACCCTTAAAGGAAGGAACCCAAAAACCGTAAGCCCTAATAGGAACCCTTAAAGGAAGGAACCCAAAAACCGTAAGCCCTAATAGGAACCCTTAAAGGAAGGAACCCAAAAACCGTAAGCCCTAATAGGAACCCTTAAAGGAAGGAACCCAAAAACCGTAAGCCCTAATAGGAACCCTTAAAGGAAGGAACCCAAAAACCGTAAGCCCTAATAGGAACCCTTAAAGGAAGGAACCCAAAAACCGTAAGCCCTAATAGGAACCCTTAAAGGAAGGAACCCAATAACCGTAAGCCCTAATAGGAACCCTTAAAGGAAGGAACCCAATAACCGTAAGCCCTAATAGGAACCCTTAAAGGAAGGAACCCAAAAACCGTAAGCCCTAATAGGAACCCTTAAAGGAACCCTAAAACCCTGTCCCCCGATCGCCTGGATCCCTGCAGGCTGCGAAAGATCTCCAGAGCGAGGGTCCACTCGCCCCCCTTCTCGCAGGAGCTGATGGTGGTGTTGTAGCCTGGACTTTCGTGTTTAGGGTTTAGGGGTTTAGGGGTTTGGGGTTTAGGGGTTTAGGGGTTTAGGGTTTAGGGTTTAGGGGTTTAGGGTTTAGGGTTTCAATTATCGAGACTATCGATCTAAGTAAAGACATACATAGATATCTCTCTCTGTCTCTCTGACTATCCATTTCTAGCTATCTATCTAAGCTTGCCTATCTATCTATCTACCTATCTTTCTTTCTGTCTACGAACATGTAGTTATGTGTATATATATATATATCCTATTTGTGTAGGAATATAATATGGCTTATACATCTGAGTGTTGTAGGTACATATATATATATATACACACACACACACCCTTAACTACCCAGCTTGAACCACACGGGTCCAAGTAATCATTATGTTCAAACTTTAGAGCCTTTTCGGGTACCAAAAGCAATAAAGAAGGACTACTTGGACCCTTAGGGTCTTGTAAACCGTAAACCCTAAACTCTTGTAGGATCCCTGAAAGGGGCCTCAATAACCCTGACCCTCAGGGTCCAAGTACCTACTTATCATATAATCTCCAAAATAGTAACCTACAGAGCTAGTATCCTAAACCCAAGTACCTACTTACTTACTGGATCCTTTGGACTCTTAAAACCCTACTATAGAATCCTCTAAACCCTTGTAGAGCCCTTTAAAGGGACCCTAATTATTGGGTCCTTGGGTAAGATTGAGAGACGCCGGGGGGCCGATCAGGTTGGGCACCAGCTGAGCGGCGGGCATGGACCTGAACCTGACTTTCACTTCCGGGGGTTCGGGGTTCTTTGGGCCAAGGATTAGGGGGGGTTAGGGTTTAGGGTTTTGGGGTTTCGGGGTTTTGGGTTCCTTTAAGGGATCTATAGGGTTTGGGGGTTTAGGGTATTGGATTTAGGGTTTGGGGGGTTTCGGGGTCTAGGGTTGAGGGTTGGGGTTTAGGGGTTTTGGGGTCTTGGGCCTGAGGGCTTAGGGTTTTGGGTTGAGGGTTTTGGGCGGGGAGGTTATTGGAACTTATGGGAAATTCAAGCTCCTCTGGTGTGGTTCTTGGGAGTTTAGGGCTGTAGGGCTTCAAGGTTGAGGAAGTTGAAGTATTGAAGGGCTTAAAAGGTTTATGTTTTGGGCTTCGGATTTGAAGTATAGTTAGGGCCTTTAGCACGGCTTTTACGCACCTTTGGAACAGTTGCCAATGGAATGCCCTAAACCCTAAATCGCGGTTTATGGTTCAGGGTCTTCGACGAGCTTCGAGCGTCTGTTGTGAGGCATCTATTAGAAGCTGCCCCCACCCTGTAATAGTTACCATATGGATTATATTAGGGCCCTATTATATTCCTTTTATATTCCTGATATACCACTAGTACAGGGTGGGGGCAGCCTCTAAGGCATCTACAGCGTTTCATCTTCTTGCTCATGCAGGGTTCGGATGGCTACAGAGGTGTGTAGCTGATTGCATTAGCCCAGAACGGCGTCGGCGGAAAGGTTTGAAGTCTGAGAATTGCCCTGAGGGTAAATAGTTTATACATTGGGCCCAATGTACCTATATAGGGAGTACTTTAAGGCCAAACAAAGTATATACTGTTTGGGTACTTGGACCCTTAGGGTTGTAGAGGTAAGGGGCAGTTGCGATTAACAAACCATCCAGGGGATCCCCAAACTACGGTTGATGGTATAAATCCTGCATGACCCATAATAAGGAATGTACCATAACTCCCGTAGTTTAGGGTCCTTGAGGTAATGCAGGAATTATATCATCAACAGTATCAACGTGCTTTCTGGCCTTGATCGTGTAAGTTAGGGGGTTACGTTTGATCCGGGGTCTACTTGGAGGTTCATGGGTAGTTATAAGCGGAGTTATAAGTCCCCTAATACAGTATGGGTTATAACTATAGTTACCCTACTTGTAACTCCACTTATAACTACCCATGAACCTCCAAGTACAGTACACACCCAGAGGGTCCAAGTATCCAAATAGAGGCCTTCAAGGAGAGTATGGGTTTTTGCCCTACTATTTGGGTACTTCGACCCTCTGGGACAAACAGCGATGTAATATACTGAACCCTCATAACACCCTTTGTAGTAGTTCTGATAGACACCTTTAAGAGGAACCCTTAAAGGAACCCTCACAAGGCCCCTATAGTAGGCTTCGGTTTTGGACTCAGGAATGAAAGGGTGGCGGCCGCCGGGTTTGGGGAGGCCATCTTGCGCACATCTTCTGTTTGTGAGCGGAGTCACAGGGCCCTGAAACCTAAGCCAATGAACCTCAGGCCCTAAACCCTAAACCAATGAACCTTTAACCCAAAACCCCAAACCAATGAACCTTAAATCCTAAACCCCTACCTTAAACCCTAAACCCCCACACTTTAAACCCTACCTGTGCATCCGAAAACCTACTCTTGTAAGGGTTGTATAGACCCTCTAATTAAGGGGTCATCACCTACTATTTTGTCGGGTTGGGGGATACAGGTAAGCCCCCCAAAAAAACCCTAAAACCTAAACCCCAAAACCTGCACTACCGTAAACTGGGCTTTGAAGTAGCCAGGGAGAAACAAGTATAAACTTTTATATCCTAATATATGGTTCCTTTAAGAAAAACTAGTATAGCATGGTACTCCAAAGCCCCCTAAACCTTAAACCCTAAATCCTTACAGGGAACTCCAGAAAGTTGGAATATGGTTTCATGGTAGGATACCCTATAATTTACCATAGAAGGGTTAGGATAATCATATTCCAACTTTCTGGCTTTTACTTTAAACCCATAGTATGGTCCTCCAAAGCCCAGTGAAACCCTAAGTCGCCGCCAGGGGGGGAATTCCTTTAAGGGTGTGGGGTTTAGGGCCTAGGGTTCCTTTCAAGAGCTACTTAAAGGGTTCTATAAGGGATCTGTTATCCTTAACCCCCCCTTACCTAGCTTTTTAAGGACTTATATATGAAGAAATCATATTAGGGAACCCTAAACCCCTGGAAGTTTGAATATAAGTTCCCAAGAACCCTGCACCTAAATCTTTAAACCCGATAAGCCCCTAAACCCAAAACCCTAAGAATATAGGTTCCTTAGGGTCCAGGATGAGGTTCTATAACAAACCCCTGAGTCGCCGCCAGGGAGCCCTAAACCCCAATATCCCTCAGCCCCAAACCCTGAACCCCTAAACCCTGAACGATCCCCTTAAAGGAACCCTAAACCCTATAGATCCCGTATGGATCCCTTTAAAGGAACCCTCAACCCTACACCCATAATAGTATGGTACTCCAATGCCCAGCAAGCCCCTAAGTCGCCGCCAGGGGGCAAGTTCAAGGCCGCTTGCCACTGAGCACCCTTCTCGCAAGAGGTGATGGCCTGGGTTGGGTTCCCTTGGGTTCCTTTAAAGGGGTCTAGAGGGGCTATAAGGGATAGAGGATATAGGGGTTTCTAGTGGGTTGTGCTTTAAACCCTTTGAAAGTTATTTATGAGTAGGTTCCCTTTATAGGGTTTAGGGGTTTAGGGCTTTAGGGGCTTAGGGGTTATAGGGTCTCGGGTGGGGCTCAGGGTTTTGGGGTTCATTGTTTGTGAAACCCTATGCCTCCAGGGACCTTGTTCTTGGGTCCTTAAGAGGTCTAAGGCCCCAGCTATAACTAGGCTGTCCAGTAACCCACTGGGAAAAAGTATATGGGTAGTTGTCAAAATGATGGTCCCTTTTTGGATCTCTAATATAATGCGACACCTAAAATTTGAGGAACCCAAAAAAGGGCCTTAATTACACCTACCCATATACGTTGTTAGGCTTCTTGTTTTATAATAGGAACCCAGAAACCTGAAAGTAAACAAGTGTACCACTGAACAGCCTGGTGGCTGCGTTGTAGGTGATGTTGTCCTGGGCTTTGAAGCGGATTAGGGTTTAGGGTTTTAGGGGTTTAGGGGTTTAGGATTGAAGTAACCCGGGAGAAAAAGGAGTACTGTACAGACTTTAATTTTCACACTGGCTCCCAGTAAGTAACAGGTCCCCCCAAAAAAGCGTTAAAGTATGGTACTCCAAAGCCCAGTGTCAGGCGTGAGTTTCATGGTCGGCATGGAATTGAACATATGCAAGGCCTTGGATGCAAAGCTAGGGTAATTACAGGAAAAGCTCGGTACCTCTTGGATTTCATAGTGTACAGAAACGGAACTCGAACCGTAGACCAGAAGGCCTTACACCAAACTCCAGCTGAAGATTACCTACCAAAAGGGGCCTTCTTTGCTACGGCCTAATTCCATAATGGTAGTAACTATGGCCCCAATGAGGTACTAAACTCCAAGGAGCCAGCTGCCACCGCCCACCCTTCTCGCAAGAGCTCAGGAGGGAGCTGCAGCTGATGACGTCGGGAGCAAGCGTTGCTTCCTGCAGGATTAGGGATTTTGGTTTCGAACGAACCCTTAAAGGAAACCTTAAAGCAATTCTTATGGCTCCCTTAAAGGGCAGTTGAGTGGTGGCCAGCCCTGAACTCGATTGCACCAAAAACGCATTTTAGGGTTTAGGGTTCAGGTTTTTGTTTTTTGAATTCCTTTTTCCCTGAGGCTGCTGTTAGCGACTCCACAGAAAGCCTAGGATGGCCAGGAGAGACAAGGGTTCAGGGGTTTGGGAGTTAGAGGGGCCTTGGGGTGTTTGTGCAATAATGTAGCACAACAAAACAAAGTAGCATCCTGATACAGGGGCCTGATAATTTTTTTGGGGGGATATATTATAGTGCAACATACAGTATAGCTGTATAAGGAAACACCCTAGCTATTACAGGGACCTTCTCAACATAGAACCGGGCTTTTGGGGTTTGGGGTTCAGGGCAGTCTAACTATGCAAGGTACACCGTTCCTGCATAGTCCCTAATAAACCCTAAACCGAAGCCCGAATCCCTAAGGTACACACCCTAAGGGTCCATGTACCCAGATAGTATATACTTTGACCTTAAAGTACTCCCTATACAGGTACATTGGGCCCAAAGTATATACTATTTAAAGGTACATGGACCCTCAGGGTTTTATGGCTAGGACCCTATAATAAAGATTTTGGTTAACCAAAAACGGAATTACAATGGAGACTATAGTTATAACCCCAAACCCCTATTTCTTGTAGTACCACTTTAAAAGAGCCCTTTGAAAGGCAGTTCCTGCATAGAGTTGAAGAGGAAGATGGCCATCTGCCACAGCCCCTGGACCTCACAGGAGCTGATGGCAGCGCTGTAGCTGACGACCTCACTTCTTCGAGGGTCTGGGGTTCCAGGGGGTCTATAACGGTTACACTATAAGGGTTTCATGATATAGGGGCCTTCATGATTAGAATAGGGTTTGGGGGCCATTGCAGTAGTTTTATAATCAGGAAACCACCACAATAGTATGGGTAATCATTTAGGCCCCTATATTTGGGTTTAGGGTGTACCTCGTTATAGGGTCCTTGATAGTTCAAACAAGGTTTTGGGGCCCATTACCCCTACCTTACCTTAACGCACCAGAAACCGCTTAATATGAGGGTTTAGCATCGGGGCCTGAATAATGAGAGTAGGTTTTGGGTTTGGGGGTATACTGCTGTAGAGTTATAAACGGCGATCCCTAGCGGCTAGAACTGGTACTTCCCTACTCAGCTACCACTTATACTATACCCTTGCATCCCTTAACCCTAAACCGAACAAGTCAGAACATGTCAAGCAACGGTAGGAGACAGTGTGGCCTCCGATATGCCGTTGAAGAGCTGTAGAGCCAGCTGCCATTCACCGGCCCTCTTGCATGCACTGATGGTCGCATTGAAACCTAAGATCTGCTGTCGACCACAAGACGTTCTCTTGCTTCAACAAACATTGGGATTCAGGGATCAGTGAAAGTGAAGCCAGACCACATCCCTTGTTTAAATCCCCATTCCATTTGGGAGTTTCCGAAAATAGGGGACCCCAATGTATTATCCTAAATAGTAGGATCCTTACTATAAGGGCCCCAAAATAACAGAATTTTCGGAAACCCCCATAGAGGAAGTCTTCTTTAGTTCATGGCTATTCGAGGATCTGCCTCAAGCCGGAATAACCTACCGTTTTAAGGACATATATAAGGAAATCATAATAAGGAACCCTAAAAAGGTAGGTTATTCCGGCTTGAGGTGGGGGTGGAACAGCGCAACTCCCAGAACCCCAGGCCCTGGACCCACGGCCCGACGTTCTGCTCCACAAAGAAATCTCAGAAAACCGAACACCAAAACTTCCAGCATACATTAGAAGCTGCCCCCACCCTGTAATGGTGACTATAAGGATTCTATTAGGGCACTATTACAGGGTGGGGGCCCCTTCTAAAGTATACAAAAAGTACCTCTTTGGGAAGCCTAACCCTATAAGCCTCAAAATAACCCAAAAGCCTAACATAGTATGGTCTTGGGAAAACCCTAAGGGATAATGCGGTACATAGTACCTACTTTGGGGTATTTGGAATCTCTCCGGCAATGCTAGAGCCGCAAGCCCTTTAACATGGGTCTTGCTTGAGTTAGAGGACAAGCAAGACGTAAACTCAACAGCCTGAACCCTAGACCTCAGTGATCTTTACAGTAGCCCTAAACCCTAAACCCCTAACCCCTAAACCCCTAAAGCCTAAACCTCTAAACCCCTAAACCCCTAACCCCTCAACCCTAAACCCCCAAACCCCTAAACCCCCCAACCCCTGAACCCCTAAACCCCTCTACCCTTACACCCTAAACCCTAAACCCCCTAACCCTACACCCTAACCCCCAAACCCTAAACCCCTAAATCCCCCAAACCCCTAAACCCTAAACACCCCAATCCTTACACCCTTACACCCCCAAACACTTTTAAGAAACCAGACCAGGAGCTGATCACATCAGGGCTCAAAGCGTTTGTGGCCATGGAGTGGAAGACGTCTAAGGCCAGTTGCCAGCGGCCGCCCTGGCTTTAAGGTTCAGGGGTTTAGGGTCTGGGTTTTAGGGTTTAGGGTTAGGGTTTGGGGTATAGGGCTTAGAGTCACAGTAAACCCCAACAAATGCCAGTTGCCAGCGGCCGCCCTGGCAGCATACAGTAATTATAGGGAACCTGAACCCTGAAGAAAGGGAATAAGGGGCTACTCTAGGTCTTAGTTTATTTTACAGGTAACCGAAAAATGGGTAAGGTATGTCCCTCTACGGTAAACCCCAAAAAGTTGGAAACCGGATTAAGGCCAAATAATGCTAGGGCCCCTTATGCATTACTCTTCAGGGTTGAGGCTATCGGGTTTCCAACTTTTGGGCTTCTACTGTAACCGAGGGTTTCTTTCAGGGTTCCTTTAAAGAGTGTTTGGAGTTTAGGATTTAAACGGAGTTTGTGTTTAGTAGCAAATTCGCTTTAGGCTTTCCGGGTCAGTGGGGTGTGGGGTTTCAGCAATTAGTTTAGGTTCTGGTTAAACCCTAAACCCTAAACCGATAAGGCTTGGTGACACCAACAGCATCGGTTTGCACCGTTCAGGGTTTAGGGTTTAGGGTTTAGCCTTATCACAGGAGCTGATCGTCGCGTTGTAGACAATGTCATCGGGAGAGAGCTTGGAGCTGCGGATGGAGTTGAACAAACCCAGGGCGAAGTTCCACTGGCTCCCCTTCTCGCAGCAGCTGATCGCCCTTACTTCTCCGGCTTGGGAACCCTAAGGCTCCATGTAGCCATATCATATATACTTAGGCCTCAAAGTACCTATATAGGAACCCCTTTGAGGCCTAAGTATATACTATATGGGCACATGGAGCCTTAGGGGAAGATATCTAGAGGTTAACACCTTGTGGGTTAGACTGAAGTTAGACTACCCAAAAAATCATGAAGGCTACTTGCTTGATGGCGAAGCGTCGAGCTGTAGCTGATAATGTCCGGCACCATGTTGGCCTTCGGCATAGCATCGAACAGCTGAAGACCCAGGTGCCACTGCCGCCCTTTTTCACAAGCACTGATCGTGGCATTGTAGCTTATGACGCTGGGCTCAATGCTGGCATCTGGCAACCTCGCTGTTGAGGCCCCCCCACCCCAAAGAAGTCCGTATGTTGATTTTGATGGGGGATAGAACAGACATAACAAACATTCGAAGTCTACATACCGCAAAAACCGTGAAACAAAAACCGTTGAACCAAATAACACCAACGCACACACACACACACACATCAAAGCCCAATGTCCTGTTATGTCCAGGATCAGGAAGCTGGCTAGATGTAGAAAAACACGCAAGACAACACCGGCTAGGGTACATGCGCCTGTACGTTTAAGTCCGTGATCGTTTGGAAAAAACGTGAAACTCCATACAACCCTACAGCCCTACACCTGCAGAATATCATCAACTCACTTGGCTACTTGTAGCTACCTTAACCCTCAAGCGAATTCTTAAGTAACTACGTTAAAGGAAAACATATGGGTGATTGTCAAAATTAGGGTCCCTTTTTGAATCCTTATTTTAATGCGGCACCTAATATTTATGGTACCCAAAAAGGGACCCTCATTTGGACAACCACCCATATGCAGGGACCCGAATATGTATAGGTATCCTAGGGTTTAGGGTTTAGGGTTGTTTTAAAGGAACTCATGTGTAAGGACCAGAAAATGTGCAGGTATCCTCGGGTCCAGGTAGCGAGTGGAAGATGGCAATCGCCTTGTGCCACCACTTCGCCGCAGCACAGGCGCTGATTGCCTGAATTCTTGTCGTAAAGGAATTGCACAGTTTAAGTTTCCACAATGGGGTTTAGGGTTTATACGTGTAAATGGTGAAAAAATATTGCCCTCATCATAGTAAGCTAACTTACAGTCCTTAACGAGAACCCAGTTGCAGTCGCATAATGCAGCGGTTCCGGCTTCGCCTGTCCAGAACCACGTTCCTGGTTCGAGAGCCAAGGTTTTTTGGGGACAGGTTTGGGGTTTAGGGGTTTAGGGTTTAGGGTTTCGGGGTTTAGGGTTTAGGGTCAAGGTTTAAGCAAGTAGTCCTGAGCTACTATATTTGTGGGCCTTGACCATTATAGTAGGGTGCTGGGGGACAGCGGACGACACATATACCTTGCCTACAAGAAATCACTGCTACATACATATTCCGACTCCGACCCCGGTATCAGGTGTCCAAACAGACCCCTCCCTGAAAGCAACATGAAACCCCATCAATCCTTCAATAAGGAGCCTCTCGAGACTATGCTTCAACTTTGAAGACTGTTCGGTTTGTGAGGTTATATGCTTTGCGGCACCTCATAAAGACTGTGCTTCTCTGAATGTAAACCTGCAGCAGCAACAACAACAGTCCGAAACCAAAATACGTCGTCATTCACTACTTTGGACCCCTGAACAACTGCTTGAGGCCAACATATACCCTCCGCAGGGTACAAAGGGCCTGAGGTAGCAAGCATAAGAGAAGAAGCACTGCCTACGGCTTCGAGCCTTACCTGAAGCCACACAAAAACCCTGCCTTTTTGAGGTCTTCTTAGCGGACATCATAAACACGAGCACGAAGAAGAGGATTTTAGACTCCGAATTAGGGGTTTAAGTTTTTTTTTGGTGGTTTAAGGGTTTATGGGTCCCAACTGTAAACAGCCAGGCGTCCCAAACATCAAGTAGCTGGCACACCAGATCAGCCCTCTTCATTCGCTTCAAATCCTGCATAACCTCGCAGGGGTCGAACGGTTGATGACATAAATCCTGCCTTAACCATAATAAGGAACATACCATCATTCCGGTATATTCCTTATTACCCGGTCATACACCATCAACCGTATGGCGGCTGTCCTAGCGACACGGGGTCCTTTATACTTCGAAGAAGGTTTCGGGATCTCTACATTAGGAAAAAATTGTCTTCGAGGCATGTTCGCTGCTCCCAATGCTAATCTCGTTTCAAGCTCTTGTAACGACAAGAGTAACGACAAGGGTTCAAAAGCTGCTCCTACAAAGGTTTAGGGGTTGTAGGTTTCTTACTTACTGCATGTGAGTCATCAGAATTTTCCATCATCAGTTAGAGGTTACCACTCCCCAAGGCTCCATCTACCTAAATGGTAACTTAGTATATTATACTTCGGCCCCTGTGTACCTATAAAAGGTGTACTTTTATACTAGTTGGGTACATGGTCCCCTGGGGAGTATACAGTAGAAGCCAGAAAGTTGGAACATGGCTTTAGGAGGATTAGTGCTAGGATCCCCTATACTTTATTTATTTTAAGGGCATGGGGATATTGATGTTCCGACTTTCTGGCTTCTACTATAACAATTATAGTATCCTTAAGGGAGGGGGCTCCAAGGGGGGTATAAAGCCTAGTGATCCCTAACTCTCCCTGGTAGTCCCTAAGGTTCCCCTAAGGATTCCTTGTACCCTCCCCCCTTGAACCACCCCCCCTTAAGGATCCTATAACAAGGACTGTCTGCCTCCCGGGCTGCCATCCTGCCCGGTTCCAAGCTTAAGGAAACTAATGAGCTAATATAGGGGCCTCAATATTTAGAATAGGTTCCTTTAAAGGGCTCCTTTAAAGGGACCACTATAAGGAATCTATAAGACGATTCTCTAATACAGGGGCCTAAATCATCAGAATAGGGTTTTGGCGCCCGTTATACTATAAGTATATTCCCAAAAGAGTATAGGTATTTCTTAAGGCCCCCTATAGTACTTGAACGAAGCTCTGAAATCGAACGGCACCCGCAAGCCTACTTCTCCAAAGGTCGTACCGGAATCTACCCCGGACGCTGGCCGAGGCCTTAAAAGCCCGAATGCTACCCCGAATTGCGATGCGAGAGGTTTGGGATTGGATTTTTTGTCAAGGACTTCGAGTTTTGGAGGAGTAGCGGTTTAGGGTTAAGCGTTGAAGCCTCAGTGCTCAGAGTTTGGCACAAATATGAGTCACGAATCCCCAAAACCCGGGCCTTAAACCTATACCTTAAGGCTCCTGGACCCTTGTAGTGAGACCCCGGACCCTAGCCCCCAAAGCCGAACCGCCCCCCCCCCCCAGAAAGCCCAAGACCCTCTTTGGAGCCTTAGGGTATGCCCTACCACTATGGGCTATTAGACCTTATGGGTACCTTAATCTACCCTTAATAGGGTCCTAATAGGGATCTTTAGGGTCTAATAGCCCATGGTGGTAAGCCTTACATCCTACACCCTATGACCTTGAATCCTGAACCCTCAATCCTTAAATCCTAAGCCTCTACAACCTCAGCCCGCACCTGTCCAGCGGCTTTGGGAGTTCTCTGCCACTCTCGCAGCCTCAGAGACATCAGCCGATCGACCTCTTTGTGGCTGGGCCTTTTACCCAGGTGCTTCCTTGGCTGAAAGCGGGTTTAGGGTTTAAAGTTGAGGCTTGTCCATCAGCCCAAAGCATGAGCCTTTACTCACTAATGAGAATCGGGCTTTGGGAGACATACCGTATCAAAAGTTTAGGGCCCTCATATTCAGGGGCCATCACCTGCTATTTTGTAGGGTTTACGGGTTCAGCAGGGTCTGGGGTTTCGGGTTTTGGAGGTCGAAGAACCCGAAACCCAATGGCCACAGGCAATGTGTCGGATGTTAGTGGGTTTCATGAAGGTTTTACAAAGTTTCAAAGGGGTTCGGAGATATTTCTGAAATCATGTTGGGGCCCCTACTATATGACTTAAAGTATGTTCTTCAATTAAATGATATTGGAGTCTGTGGGTAGAAGGCTTCAAAGGGGTTCTACCTTAAGATTGTGTACTTGGAGTCTTGGGCGGCAATAACGCAGAGTAGAACCCACTCACAGACCATGATGTGTAAGAATCGGAGTCATGGGCTGTCTTGAATCTGACGCTTGGCCACAAAATCCAAGCTTAGGGAGTCCACAGCATATAATCAGTGCTGCAGAAGTTCGACTCGTAAGAAATATGGGTAGTTCTAGAAATTACGGTCCCGTTTAGGGTCCATCTTATAAAGGGTGTCGTACTCTATTCGGGATGTAAAAAAATCCGGATTAAGGCCAAATCGTGCTGGGATTCCCTATACGTTACGCTTAAGGATTGAGGCTATTGGGTTTCCAACTTCTGGGCTTCCACTGTAAGGTTTATAGGGTTTGGGGGTTTAGGGGCTTAGGGTTTAGGGGCTTGGGGTCTAGGGGTTTAGGATCTATGCCTCGCCCTGAATGTCAAACTCTGAAGCTCTAGGCTGGAAAACAAACAGACACAAAAGACACTTTAAACCTTTAAGTTAACAAGCCTTAACCTCGAACCTACACCCCAACACTTACGCTTAACCCTCTACCTCAATCGTACCCAGCTGCAGCTCCTCCAGGAAGGCAGCCGTTCTCTTTCTCCATGCTTGGGCCATCCGGCTAGGGCTTCGGGCCCACGTTCAGAACATGAGCACAGGGTTTTAGGATTCAGGGCTTAGAGTTTTGAGTTTAGGGTCCGAAAGATTCACGTCCACGGATGGCATCTCAGGGATTGAAACTGCCGAAGATGCTGGAGCCAGAAACCTGAGTTCTTCCCGGAATTGGCAGAACTGTACGCTTGGGAAAAATCCCACTAGGACATGAGATAGGCTAGGGTAGTTAGGGTTAGGTTAGGTTTAGGTGAGGGTGATATATGTATATACATATATATATATATATGTATAGATATACATCTGCTGAAGAATCACTGCACGCTGCGCAATCCTCTCCTGTGTTTCGCGGCTGGCAGCTAGCGATCATACAGTTGAGCCTGGAGTAAAATACAGCACAGTCCAGAGTAGATACCAATAGCACACCTGCCATCCGACCTGTGCAATCGAGCTAAAAGCAAGAAAAACGTAGGCTTGCAACGAAAACGTGCAACTGTCAGGACACATCACAGGAGCTGTCCTGCTGCATGCAGGGACAAAGAAAATGTGCTGAGATACGCGCGCATGCCCCCCGCAGCCAACAAGAAAAAAACAACCATGTAGACTGCCACCCCTATTGCAACGAGATGCCTGAAGGAATGAATAACATAGCATACTAGAGCCGATTATTGAATCACGGCCTGAGACAGGTCAGCCAAAACTACTTCCCAGAGACTGCGCATAGTGCTCGGGGCATATTATGCAATACCTACACAAAGCAAAACATTCAGCAACGATTATTGACTTCAAGACCCACAAGTTCGCTGGCGCAAGTCTGTCATTTAGCCACGCGCACATGGGCATACCGCTGGTGCAGCGGGAAGTAGCTACATTCCCAGGCCACTAGCACTTAAGCCAAGCCCCAGAAATCTCACTATCCCGAACCCGACACACGCAACCCTGAAACCCTGAACCATTACAACTCCCTAGGCCTCCCTAGGCCCTGAAACCCTAAACCCTCACAACCCCTGATGGGTTTAGGGTTTAGGGGTTTATGATCCTAAAACCCTAAACCCTAAACCCATCAGGGGTTGTGAGGGTTTAGGGTTTCAGGGCTTAGGGAGTTGCAATTGAAACCCTAAACCCTAGTGTTAATGATATAAATCCTGCATTACCTTAAGGACCCTAAACTATGGGAATTATAGAATATTCCTCATTATGGGTCATGCAGGATTTATACCCCTAAACCCGAAAACCGTATAGATCCCTTAATGGAATCCCTTAAAGGTACCCTTATAGATCCCCTTTAAAGGAGCCCTTGAGGATTTAGATCATCAACCCTAGTGGGGTGGGGCCTCCACACTGCCTCGACTTAGAGCGTCGAAGAGGGCAAGAGCGGCTTGCCACCTCGAAGAGGGCAGTCTTTAGGGGGCAGCCTAGGGGTCCATGTGCCTAAAAAAGGTCGCTTTTTAAGAGTTCCTATAAGGGCTTTATAAGGCTACCATAAAGGGTTGAGGGTGTAGGATTTAAGGGTCCATGTACCCAAATAGTATATACATGGGCCTTAAAGTAGTCCCTGTATAGGTACATTGGGGCCAAAGTATATACTATTTGGATGCATGGACCCTTAGGGGTATATTCGCCAGGAGCCCTAAGAAATACTCTGAAGGCTTCCAGTCAAAGCATATAATACATACATGGATGTATATCTATCTATCTATCTATATATATATATACAGATGTATATGTATATGTGAGGCCTTACCAATCCGTCACTCTTCTGAACAGTTTCAACAAGGCCTGGAGGTATAGCCTAGTCGAGCGGGAAATTTGGAAGGGGTGCTTGAGGGGGCTTTGAAGTAACCAGCGAGACAAAAGTATAGGTTGTATAGATTTTTATTTCATACTCGTTCCCTTGAAGTAACAGGTCCCCCAAAAAAGTATTAAAGTATTAACCCTAAACCCTAAACCGCAAACCCTAAACCCTAAACCCTAAACCTTAAACCCTAAACCCTAAACCCTAAACCTTAAACCTTAAACCCTAAACCCTAAACCCTAAACCGTATGCTACTCCAAAGCCCAATTCAGGGGGCTAGGAACTCTACTCGGAGGGTCGGGGGACTTAGCAAGTAGGTAGTAAGCAGACTTATAAGTACCCTAAAAGGGACCCTAATTGGGGTTATGGTACTTATAAGTCCCTAAAATAACAGTTTCTAAGTCCCCCGACCCTCCAAGTAGATGCTCCGACTGAGGGGCTCCATGAGAGGCCTTTGTTAAGGGGGCCCGAGTCGGCTCAGGGGTTTATAGGGTTTAGGGTTTTTGGGTTTAGGTTCAGGGATTCAGGGTTTAGGGGTTTAGGGTTGAGGGTTCAGGGTTTAGGGGTTTTGGGTTTAGGGGTTTTGGGGTTCAGGGGTTCAGGGGTTAGGGGTTTAGGGTTTAGGGGTTTAGGGTCTAGGGGTTTTGGGTTCAGGGGTTCAGGGTTTAGGGGTTTTGGGTTCAGGGGTTCAGGGTTTAGGGGTTTTGGGTTCAGGGGTTCAGGGTTTAGGGGTTTTGGGTTCAGGGGTTCAGGGTTTAGGGGTTTTGGGTTCAGGGGTTCAGGGTTTAGGGGTTTCGGGTTTTTGGGTTTAGGGTTTAGGGGTTTGGGGTTTTTGGGTTTAGGGGTTTAGGGTATAGAGAAAGCCATGTTTTCAAGGGGTTTAGGGGTTTAGGGTTCAGGGTTTAGGGCTTATGGTAGGGTATTTGGAGTGAAGCTTTAACCGGCTTTGTAGCAGTGATGAATCACCGAGAGGCCCGAACCCTATCAATTCTCTAAGGGTGCATGTACTAGGTTTCCTTTGAGAGATCTGATCTATAAGAGTTCAGCTAGGGTTGAGGGTACTGAGGATAAGGATCCGTAATCTCAAGTCCTGGTTGCTGACGCCCTTTCTCTGCCACCACAAGGTCTATCTCCTTATGATGGGACTATGTTCATACATATGCCGCTTCGGTGCCAAGGTTACCGCGAACCCCAAAGGTTTACGTGCTTTATAATTGGTTAGATGCTCACCCAAACATACGACTACATTTTTACTATCCTAAGCCCAGTTCCTAAATTCTGGACGATTTTCCGTGAGTTTCAAGGACAAGTGGCTGGCTGGCTTTCTCGCAAGCACTCAGGGCAGCGTTGAAGGAGATGATGCTGCGTTCGATGGAAAAGTCCTTCTATTGCGTCATTGGGTTTAGGGTTTAGAGTCCTGTAGTCTTACGAGTTTTGGCTGGGTCTATTTATGATCTGTTTGGGGTAATCAAGAATCTCCCAAAACACAATCTGAATTCTAATTGGGACCCTATGGGGACACCAAACTCAACATGCTTCATCTGCATTCGAAGGATCTGGGGCCGTGACCGAGGGGTGTAGCGGCCGTGTCTGAGGTTCCCATGAGAGACCAAAGAAGACAGGTTCCAGTATGCTTTAAACTAGAGTAGGATGCCCAATATGATTTACTGTATATTATTTTGATTCAGAAGGGATGTTGGAAGATCTGTGTATTACCCTATGTTGGCCCTTTAAAGCCTTTGAACAATAGTCGCACGTAAGATCCTCGTAAGACCAACAAGGCAAAATAGTAAATGCCCCAAGGGCCAACGTAGTACTGCTAACCTTATAGAACCCTGAACCCCAAGCCCTTCTAGAACGCCAACAGATCCCAAGACGAACCTTAAGCCCTGAACCCATGAGCCCCGAAAGAAGGGCAAAGAGATCCTCGATCTGGGAGAAGAGCTCCAGCGCATGCCTGGCGAAACTCAGCCAAGGCTTTCGGATGAGAGTTTGGGTTTTCGGGCTTAGCGCTTCGGGTTTAGGTTTTCGGGCTCAGAGTTTCGGGATTCGGGTTTAAGTGTTTTCGGGTTTCGGGCTTGGCGCTTATGGTTTCGGGTTTAAGGCTGCGGGTTTCGGGTCTCGGGCTTAGGTTTCGGGCTTCGGGTTTCAGGCTTCGGGTTTAGGGCTTCGGGCTTAGGTTTTAGGGCTTAGAGCTTGGCGCTTCGGCTTAAGGGCGTAGGGTTTCGGGTTAAAAGTCTTGGGTTTAGGACTAGGGTAGAGCCTGCTTCCCCTGCATAAAGCAGGGCTTTGAGACTTCGAGTCTCGAAGGAAGCTTCGAGCTATCCGGCGAGGCTTCGGATAGCCTTAAACCCTACGGTAGAAGCCAGAAAGTTGGAACATTAGTATCCGCATGCCCCTAAAGTGAAGTATCAGGGGATCCTAGCACTAATCCTCCTAAACCCATGTTCCAACTTTCTGGCTTCTCCTGTAAACCCTAAGCCCTAAACCCTAGGATTTGGGATGCAGGGTCTGGGTGTTTACGTCTTGGGGCTTAGGGCTTGGATACGAGCTTCAGGTCTGTACCTGGAGTTGTACCCCCCCTTAGAACCATAATAAAAAAAGTATGTTCAATTTATATGAACAACAACGAAAATAGCTTCTAAGGAGACTATAGGTAGTTGTAAAGCCATTTCAGCCAAACAGGGCAACTAACAACATGAGTATCCAAAGTAACACTGTACGTGTGCACTTTTATAAGGTTTAGGGTTTACCTAGAGGCTCCGAAGTAGTTCCTTTCTGGGGTTCATATATAGAATCCTATAAGGTAATCTCAAAAAGGAACTACTATGGAGCCTATCGGTAGGCTTATATCAAACATGGCAACTCCGATGTCAGTAGAAGCCGGGCTGCAACCATCGGTTGCCCTTCTCACAGGCGCTGATGGCCTTGGCTTCAGGGGATTTCGTGGTGAGGCGAGCCGCAGACCCGCATTCTGCAATGCTTCAGGTTTAGGGTTTAGGGTTTAGGGCTTCCCTAAACCCGAAATCAGCAATTCTTTTTTGGAACCCAGAACCCTAAACCCTATGACCTAACATCCATAAACCGAACCCACTGCTTCTGAAGCCGTTCGCTCGGCTCTTTGCACATCCGAAAACCTTACAGAACCCTTCGAGATCCTTCAAAGACACCCCTTCAAGGAGCCCTTAAAAGGAACTCTTAGAGATCCTTT